TGTAAATCGGTCAAGTGGTTGCTGAGATATAAGCCTCGCAAAAGCGTGACCACGGCCGGCCGGCCGGCCGGCCGGCCGCTCATACTCAGAAATTTCCGTTAATCTAAGGAAAGACTACGCTCGCTTCGCTCGCTCCGTAATTAACCCTCGCCCATGTAGGGGGGGTTGGTGCAACCCCCCCTGAGGTTTTTCGGAAATAGTGCAAAAACGGCGGCGCGCAGCGCCGCCAAATTTTGGGTACCTTATGGGGCAAACCTTGCGCATCTTTTGATAAAAAAAAATTTGACCGGGTCATGTCAGGTCACGGAGTTATGACGTCACAAAGGGAACAGCCTCCGGCCGGATTTTCACAAACTGAGTGCCAACGCCCGAGGTTTCCTGCCGGTGGTACGGACATCGGTTGATGGATCGTGATGAAACCTCCCATGCATGTTGGGGCAAGTATTGGCTATCATATGGTATAAGAAACTTGACCGGGTCAGGTCAGGTCACGGAGCTATGACGTCACAAGAGGAACAGCGTCCGGTACTATTTTTGAAAAGCAAAACAACATCGGAACACAAAACGAATGTTCCGATGCGACCGATAACGTCAGGGATCGGCAGTGCTCCACACCGACTCGCGAAGGTCTTGGCCAGGCCTCTTTCAAGCACGTTGGGCACGATCAGTGACGCACATCTCCGCAACACTGAGGATCTCATGGACAAGATCAAGGACATGGACTTATCAGATAAGTTTCTAGCTAGTTTCGATGTGAAGTCTTTGTTTACCAACGTTTCGGTAGACGGTGCGTTAGAGGCGATCAAATCTGTAGTAGCGAATATGGACTCCGAACAGTTACCTATGCCAAAAGATGACTATTTGAAATTACTTGCAATGTGCCTTAACTTTGGGGGATTTCAATTTCAGTCTGATGAGTATAGTCAACATAGGGGACTAGCCATGGGGTCACCACTGAGCCCGGTGGCGGCATGTTTGTACATGGAGTGGCTCGAAAAGCACCATTATCAGGGCATCATGGGCAGTAACGTAATTTGGTTGCGTTATGTTGACGATATTCTCGTAGTAGTGCCAAAAGAAACGAACTTAGAGGACAAACTTGATAGACTTAACTCGGTAGAGGAAAAGATTCAGTTTACACTTGAGAAAGAAAGCAACGGGACGATTGCATTTCTTGATACTGTGATCATACGTGGGAGTCAGCCAAAATTTAAAGTGTATCGAAAGCCTACAAACAAAGAGTCGTACGTACATTTCTATTCTGGACACAATGATCGGGTTAAAAGTGGGATAGTGTTGGGGTTTTTCCTTAGAGCGTATCGCATTTGTAGTGAAGAGTTTATAGATGAAGAGATTCAGCACATCATGACATCGTTCACGAAATTAAAGTACCCCAAAGGATTTCTAGTCAACTTGAAAAGAAAAGCTATCAATATTCGAAAGCGAAGCGCGACAACAAAGACGAAGAAAACCGAACGATATATAACACTTCCCAATTCGAAACCAGCCGAGATGATAGCGAAACAGATTGAAATGACTGGATTTAAAATAGCTTTCTCTTCGGGAACAAAGATAGGGGATATACTGAAAAACCACACAAAAAGAAATGGAGAAGAAAAAAGTTTAGTGTATAAGATTCCTTGTGGTTCTTGTGACAAATCATATATAGGGGAAACCGGGAGGGGCTTAGACGTTAGATTGAAGGAACATAAGCGGGACATGCGAAACAACGCAGAACATAGCGCGGTAGTAATTCATGCTCAGAAAACACATCATTTACCAAGATGGGGCGGGGCGGAAATTATAGCATTATGTAAAAACAAAGACAATCGGAAGGCGACAGAGGCGGCATTTATAGCAATGAACGAAACGATTAATATTAGGGTGGGTTCGATGAAATGGGCAAAACCAGCGGCGATGTATAGTTTAAAGAAGACGCGTCATTAGTTTGTATAAGTACCTACTTGTTCATGATCGTATTGTATAAATTTGTTGTTATCCATGTGTCATATGTATGTCAGTGATCTATTTTGCTATGGTTTTTCATAGATATTCTCCTACAGGTGGATTAGTAGTAAATAGGGGAGAGCGGGGCCAGTTGAAACACGGGGTCAGATGAAACATGGCTGTATTTTCAACAGTATGCAACATATGGCGTTGCCGACACCACTGCGCATCCGCGCTCGACCACTTCCTTCGTCAACGGCGTTTGGGCGGCAAACGGACGGTAATTTTGATTTTACACTTGTTTTTGTGTTTTTGAGGGGCGTTTGGGAGAAGTCGTTTTTATGAATATTTTGTGATATCTCATATACCTTTGCTTGCTGAAAGAAGAACTCCTGGCTCCGGAATAACACCTTATTTGGCCCTTCATTCAGCATGATGCCGTCCCTCCAGCTCGTTTGACATGTGCTTTACGGCGCGTGCGAGATGGCGGGAGCGGATGGGGTCAATTGAAACGCTTCTCTGAGGGTCAGTTGAAACAGGGCCACAGGCCGTTTCAATGGACCCCGGTGACCTTTGCAATGGTTATTGTTCAGGGGCTGTAAACATTAAAGGAAATAGTCCACCTTTGAAATGAGCTTTTAAACTGAAATAGTAGTTTCATAGAGCTCAATTTTTGACCCCTTTTTCTCCAGCCTTTTGCTTGAAAGCACACTATAGCCTGAGATATTTCTCATTTTCCTCATCCGCCCATTTTACCATAGTCTATGTACTTTATGTCACCTATTATGAGGAACTTTGCACTTTTAGCTTTCCAGCGACCTATTGAAAGTAGCATTTGGAAAAGTAAACCGGACAAAATATCTCCTTAAGAAAGTGGCCTTAAAGAGGAAACCATCCCATTGTTAAGGATAGGTGCAATTGACCCCATGGGCTGGTTCAATTGACCCTCGCATCGGGGTCATTTGAAACGGGCGTAGAGCTGTTTTATAAGCATGCGTTTGGCAGCAAAATATGTTTGAAACTTAATTTTACATATCTTAAAATAAAGCCAAAAGAGCATATTTTTTTCATGGCATTGTGCATTTTTCGATATGACAACTAGATCTCGCTGTGCATGTCAATATATAAAAAGTGGTTCAACTGGCCCCGCTCTCCCCTATGTCATATGCATGAATTTTTAAAATCAAGACGATTGCACTGCAACGAGCTCGAATGTTTGTGTGCTATATCTTGTTTTCTCTGTGATTATGTCATGCTGATGAAGATTTAATAATCGAAACGCGTCCATGCACTATTTGTTCCGTGTTTTTCTACTTGTCTCTATCAATATACAGTTGCTGGAGTATTTCGCCACCCAACGTTTGCTGGGGGGGGGGGGGGGGGGGCGTTAAACGCCCCCAGCCGATAACTCGAGAACCAATAGGCGCAGCAAAACGCACGAGGCGGCAAACGAAAGAACGCGACGAGACGCTTCAGATGAGTACTTTGAATTTTGAGGTCACAGGTCGAGTCAAGGTCAGGTCAAACACCTGAAATCGGGCTTTCAGTAGCATGGACTTCAGGACTTCGCAATGGGCGCCTCTCGTCATAAACTCTGTCAAAACGGTGCACAATCCATCATATAAGGCCTACAAGGGTGTCAGCTCCATGTAGAGGTCAGTCAAGCATAGGTCAGGGTCAAGGTCAGGTCAACCGGGTAGGAACATATCCCCGAAAATCAAAACTGATATTCGCAGCCTGTGACACATGTTTTATGGGTAATTTGGGTCCCGGCGAAAAAAGTGGGGGCGTTTAACGCCCCCCCCCCCCCCACAGCAACTCGCGGGATAAGTCAATGGGGAAAAATGAAAGCTGCTAATCTGGCACCGGGAACGATCTCCAACTATCTCAAGCACACATAATCGTGATTTGATGCACTCCTTGCAAGGGTAGATGCGTCACTTTTGCAATGTTGATCTTGCGTGACGTCATTTATGACGTCATCAAGGTCATATTAGTTTTTCGTCAATAACTCCCGATCAAATTGAGCTAGCGAGTCGGGAAAGCCACCAATGGACTCAGGAAGACCTGCCGAATCGAATGATATGCGACATGACCTCTTTCGATAAACTTCGTGACCTGGGGGGTGCTGACCTGACCTTGACCTGAGGTCAACACCCCAAGTTGACCTGACCCGAACAAAAAGTATATCATTCGACGCGCCTGAGGGAGGCGAACACGATGCTGCCAAAATCGCGGCTCTGCGGTCATATTTTGCGAAGTTATTCATCAAAAACTGAATCGTACCTTGGGGCACTTGACCTGACCTCAGAGGTCACCGCTTGACCTAGGACCTTAAAATCGGGTACCAATCTCTGCGTCTCGTAACGGCGCACACGCTCGTTTTTTTCCGCGACGCGCTAGCTCCACTAGGGGCGAAACGGCGAAGGGGGTCGTACCCGCCCCGCCCCCCCCCCTATCGGCCGGCGCGTATGTAGAAAACCAATAGGTCCGGCGAGGGTTAACTTGAACCGCAAGTATGAACAGGAGAAAATGGCATCAGGGAGGTCGTAGGCCCATCTTCAAGCAAGACAGTGCATCAGTGCACACGTCAAGCAAAGCTTAAAAGCGGTGCCAGGAGAGTGTGACAGGCATCTGTCGCAAGATCACATGTCAGGCAACTCATGGGATACAAATTTCATGAAAATGCTTTGGGGATACTGAAATCGTGGCTCGTCGAAGCGAAGCGCCGTTCCAGCCTTCAGGAGCTGACGGCGAATGTGAAGTCAGTCTGGGCTAACTTCAAGCCTGCTACGCTGCCAAACACGCCGGTTGGCATGCCGCAGCACGTATTCATGTGTTTGCCCATGAAATGGGGAGCACATGGACGTGTCATTAATATATCAAAACGCAATGTACTCTGTTTTACATGCAAATATAATGTGAGAACGAACTTATGGGACACCCTGTATATCGACAGAACAGAACAGTCCCCCGCGCGCGGTGGTCCCCGATAGCCCATTCAGCGCCGCCCCCCGCAGCCCGTCCAGCCGGGCGCGCGGCGGCCGACTCACGTTCAGGTATCGGCCGAGGTTGCCGATGTTCTTGGCGTCCATGATGTAGCAGTACTCGTCGGCGCCAAACTGCTCGCGCACAGATTTGTAGTCGTCGTCGGGCAGGGAGAGCCTGCCGGCGCTCGGAGCGCTCGCCGGCCGCTTCGACTCGACCGGCGGCTTGGCCGCGCCGGCGGCGGACGTCTTCTTGGTCTCGTGCTGCGGCTCCGAGCCGGCCGTCTTCGTCTGGCGGGCTCTGCGCCGGCAGGGAGCCAGGGGGCAGGGGAGGGGAGGAGCTCACTGGGCTGAGCCGGCCACACAGACGGTACTGAGCAGCATCGGCGCAAACAGGGTGAAACATTCCACAACAGTACACGAGTCAAATGGAGACAAGCCTGGCCCCTTATTTCTTGTGGAAAGTATATTTATTCTACATACTATGGTCTGTTTTATTTATTCAAAAGGACTCTGGGCTCAGGCTCCAAGTTCATTATCGGAGTGCTCACGTGAAGTTTGGCAGATTCAACCAAGATTCCTTTACTACTCAGGTTGGTTCACTAGGGAAATAAAGGCGCCGTGCTGACGTCATCACAGGAAATCCTTCACGTTCAAATGAAGGGGTCATTTAGATTGCTGATTTTGGCTCGATATAGTCCTTTTTTAGTTTCAGCCCTCCTTGTTACATTGGTACAACTTTTGATGACACATAATCCTTGTTTCTTTCTCCAGCTCGCTCGAAAGATGATGAAATCAGAATTCAGAAATTTGCATGCATGCCTATGGGTGAAGGGAGATTCTACCGCCGTGGTGACGTCACGGTAAAGGGATTCTGGAGCTCGTGAACGGGGGCTGGCTTCAACGTTGGGCCAAGAATTTCTTACCGCAAAAATATTACATTTCAAATTATGTTCGGTAAATGCCTGGGCATTGAGTCTTCAAAAATAAGGACAATTTGATGACGCACTCGTGGCAGCTGGCACTCATGCCCAAGATGCCTACATAATGTATGTACGTATAAGAAACAGGTAGATCGGATGTTCAAAAGTGAAGCCCTGGTGATGTCACGGACATTCTTTAAGTGACTGGAGAATTTCACTGATTAGGAAACAATCTTCCTACGAAAATTGGCATTACATAACAATAAAATACGATCTTCAAATTTCATCAATAAATTTATATAACTTAATATAACTTTAAACCCATTTAGAGTTTGTCCTTACCCTGCTATACCTTTGGTCACGTGACTACCATGCCCAAGGTAAACTACCTTTTGCAATGTTGTAAATCAAACGGAAGCATCATATATCAAAATTGTTATATTAACCCGCGACCCGTTGGGGGGAGGGGGGGGGGCAAAGGGCTCTCCTGTGTTTTTTTCGATACCTTTCCGAACATCAATTTTACACAACCCCTGAAAAAAATTAGGTCCCAGGTCATTTCAGGTCACGAGCTATAGAGATCAAACTGAGGTCATGTTCGGCGATTTTTCGTCGAAAAAGTTGTTCACGGAGAAAAATCGCAGAAAATCAGAGTTTCAACCTATAGACTCAAAAAATGCACCGTAGGTATAAAAAAGTATGGCAAACCAAATGCCTATCTCAAAATTTCCCAAATATAAATATCCTTAGATCTAGGGATTTTCTAACTCAAAATTTAGATTTCTTGGGATATTTTTTTTTCAAATTTGAAGACTTTTTCCAAAAAAAAAAAAAAACAGAACACATGTCAGAGAATCCCTTACGGGCCTTACACAGCCAAAAAGTAACTAAATATATCTAAAATTACCAGAGATATAGCCATTTGAATGACTGAAAAAGTAGCGACTGTTCCTATGACGTCACAATGTTTTCGGTATTTGCGCTTGAAATCAAACAGGAGTAATATTTATGATACTTATCAACCTCTTCCTGCCTGAATATGATTATTTACGCCAATCAGCAACCCGAAAAACCTCAGAACAGCTTATTTTACGAAATTTTAACAAGTCCCGATTTTCCCGACTTTTTGGTCATTGACATGACCTGGAAGGTAAAACAATGACCTAGGACCTTAAAATTGGGCATCATCGGCTTCCCCTCGTCACGGGCAACACGCTCATTTTTTTCCGCGAAGCTCTAGCTCGATCCCGGGCCGAACGGCGGGGGGGGGGGGGTCCAACCGACCACCCTCCTATACATAAGACGCTGGCAAACGCCGCACACATGCGAGGGTCACATCTGATAACGGTATATATTTTGAGGTACAGAAGAAAAATTGTGGAAAATATAAAAAAAAAATTAAAAAAAAATTGGCACTAGCAGAGAAAGCCTATGCACAGGTCAACTAAATACATGCTCACTGAGAAACATCTGTAACATCTGTACGTGCGCGCGTGTGTAAGCGTGTGGTGTGTATGCATGTGGTGTGTGTGTGTGTTACAGTTGGACTACACGAAGGCTTGAGTCAGATATTTTCAAAAAATGGCAAAGGCATTTACCTATATACAAACACACATACTTATATACTGCCTTTTTATTGAGAAATTTCTGCCTTAAATTTGATCAGAAAAAGCGTCATCGCCTAGCTCTGGACACTTCTCTGAAACGTAAAACACAAATAGACAAAAAAAAAACCGGCGCCTACCGTCTCGCAGGACTCCTCGAACACCCGGCTGCACCCCTCTGTTACACCCCAGTTGGTCCGGCTACACCCCTCTGTTACACCCCAGGTGGTTCGGCTGCACCTCTCTGTTACACCCAGCTCCCAGGGAGGGCCCACTTCCCCGACACCCATCCCTGTTGGTGTTACACCCCGGGCGGCGGCAGCTACACCCCGTGCTACGTCCCTGGCGGTGCGGTTACACCCCCTGTGTTACAACCCGTGTTACGCCCCGGACGGCGGCGGTTACCCCCCACCCTGTGTTACACCCCGGACGGTGCGGCTACACCCCCTGTGTTACACCCCGGGCGGGGCGGTTACACCCCCCGTGTTACACCCTGGGCGGGGCGGTTACACCCCCTGTGTTACACCCCGGGCGGGGCGGTTACACCCCCCGTGTTACACCCTGGGCGGTGCGGCTACACCCCCTGTGTTACACCCCGGGCGGGGCGGTTACACCCCGGGCGGGGCGGTTACACCCCCCGTGTTACACCCTGGGCGATGCGGTTACACCCCCCGTGTTACACCCCGGGCGGCGGCGGTTACACCCCCTGTGTTACACCCCGGGCGGCGGCGGCCGCTGTCACACCTGTTGGAGCGGCGCAGGTCGGTGTCGCCGCCGCCGCGGCCGCCGCCGTGGCGCGGCACGAAGTCGGCGTCGCGGCTGGCGCCGGCGCGCCGCCGGCCCGTCTCCGAGCTGGACGTGCCGGCGACGTCCTCATCGTCACCGCCCGGCGACGTCTCGTCTGGCGGGGACGACGACACGGGTCAGACGGCGACGACACGGGTCAGACGGCGACGGCACGGGTCACGGGTCAGACGGCGACGACACGGGTCAGACGGCGACGGCACGGGTCAGACGGCGACGGCACGGGTCACGGGTCAGACGGCGACGACACGGGTCATACGGCGACGACACGGGTCACGGGTCAGACGGCGACGGCACGGGTCAGGCGGCTACGACACGGGGTACACGGCGACGACACGGGGTACACGGCGACGACACGGGTCAGACGGCGACGACACGGGTCAGACGACGACGACACTGGTTGCAGGGGGTGGGGTGGGGGATGGCGAGATGGGGTAGTGGGGGGAAGAGACGGGTCAGCGGGAGACGAGACGGGTAAGGGCGGGGAAGGGGGGGGGGGGCGGGGCGGGGCGGGTAGGTGGTGACTAACAATAGCTACAGCGATGCCACAAATTAGATACGGGCACGTAACACACGAACCATCCAACACGAATACACGTCGAGAGAAAAGGCACAACATTCGGGAGGCCCGCGCGCATGGGGGCACAGAGGAACAATGAAACGAATCCGGCGTGCGCACGCACGTGCAGTAGTAGCCATCTGTGACACATGACAATGCATTGCCCGGTAGATGTCTCTCAAAAGCGTTACAGGCCGGGCCGGACCGCTCAAACCCAGATTTTGTTATATTGAATAAACTGGCATCGCATGTTCGCTCGTGACCACGCAGTGAGACGATTCTACACAGCACAATGCACAAGAAGTTGAGCACCGTTGGCCCGGTGGCGACTGGCGGTCCGGTGCCCCCTTACCGTCCGACTTTTCCTCGTCCCTCTTCTCGTCGCCGCTCTCGTCGTCGTCGACCACGTCCGACTCGTAGCCCTCCTTGAGCCGCTCCAACACCTCGATGTAGTCCAGCTCGGCCAGGTACTCGTCGCCGTAGTTTTTACCGTCCTGTCGGCGGCCGGCAGGGGCGTCAGGGACCGTCCGTACCGTATCGCACACAGGGGGCGGCCAGGGACCGTCCGTACCGTACATACACAGGGGGCGTCAGGGACCGTCCGTACCGTACACAGGGGGCGGCCGGGGACCGTCCATACCGTACACAGGGGGCGGCCAGGGACCGTCCGTACCGTACACAGGGGGCGGTCAGGGACCGTCCGTACCGTACCGTACTACACAGGGGGCGTCAGGGACCGCCCGTACCGTACACAGGGGGCGGTCAGAGACCGTCCGTACCGTACACAGGGGGCGGCCGGGGACCGTACGTACCGTACATACACAGAGGGGCGCCAGGGACCGTACGTACCGTGCCGCCATACGTGCTGGACTGCGAGTTAGGCCGCTCGACGGTGGGAACACGGCACAGCTATCCACAGAGATTCGGCGCTGGGGCATTTTCAGCACAACTGTTGCACTGTATACCGGCGGTGAGCCCACGCCACCGTACCGGTAAAACGGTAACGCCGCGCCCCTAGCTCGCGCTATATTCGCGCTCCCCGTACGGGTGGATTTGAAAACAAAAATCAAAACAAGTAAAACAAACGTTTTTAAGTTGGTGAACTGCGAGAAACTATCAATACTTCAGTTTTAACGTACAGCAACTACATGACCTGCTCCGCCCAGGATGGCTCACACGTTTACTGTTTATACAATCGGTTGTTGAACAACCCAATTAGTGCAAGGGTGACTGGCTGAACTGTTCAGTAGCGTCACTAGTCAGTTACTACAGGGTGTCCGGAAATTCCTGGCGCTTTTCAACATTTTTAAAACAAATGCCTCTGCTCCATAGATACTCAACAATAGATCAAAACAATGACCAGGGATAGAAAGCCACATGCTACCGCTAAAAGCTCATTCAAGGTGACCACCGATTGCGCCGACGACGTCCTCGACGCCGGGGCAGAAGTCACTGTGGGTTTTGACGATGTAGGACTTTTCCAGGCCCTCCCATGCTGTCGGGATGCGAGTCTTTAGCGACTCCAGGCTGGGATGAGAGGTGGCCTAGCGCTTATTCTGCAAAACGAGTAGCACGCCTTAGCGAGCGGGTTTACTGTTAACGCCAGACCCGTTGAGACCCTAATTTTTCGCGATTATTTTTAAATGCGTGGAGTAATTTCAACCATATTTAGGAAATAGCTGTTTCAAGACCTGCCGAAACTTTTTCTTCAAATACGTTTTGTTGACATTTCAATATTTGTGGCACTTGTCATTGACTCGTAATGTTAATTGTTTTTCCATCCTGGATAGAGGCTTTCATACGTCATATGACATTAGGCTCCGCCCACGACTGCGGCATTGACCCGTGCCCATCAGCGACCTCTGTACACACGACACCCCTGCCATCTGTAAAGGACTATGAATTTCGCTGACGCTTCACGTGCTATGTATCAATTCAAATTGCAGCAGACGGTCAAGTAAATGTTAGGCTCTTGTTGACTCTCGTATATAGGACCAAGAGAACCACCGTCCACTCCTCAAACTACTACTCACACATGCTTCGAACAAGCGTTAAAGATTCCTAACAATACGATTTTCGATGTAGGAAATATGTTTGAAATACGAGCGAGCCTTATGATGTGAAGCGAAGGCAATTTAACTAATTATTGCGTTGTTCGATGGTTGTATAGCGATGTACAAATCAGCAACTACTTGATGACATCCGACATCCCATTATCACATTTTCTGCAACGCCATAGGCTTTAAATACAGGTGAATATTTCCTAACCTTATGTCAGGTATATGCCATCGCCCATCTGCCCGTCATTTGCAGCTTATGAAAAATAAAACAAATATCAGCGAACCTATCAGCATTGTACAAACAATGCGCATTGAGCATTTATGGCTCCTCAGTCATCATGTCGCTCTTTGGGCACCGTCAGACAAGACGTTACGCACAACTCCGCCGGCTTTCGGCACCGCCCGACCGTCCCCGCTCCCCGCCACAGCGCGAGTGACCGCGCGCCGGCCCGAAACCGCCGCAGGCCAAGACCACAGAGGCGGGGCTGAGCTTTGACGTCATAACGTATCACAGACTGACTGGTGATAGCCTCTACACACAGGGTGAAAATCTTGCTCGAAATTTAACATTACGAGTCAATGAGAAGTGCCTGAAATATTGAAATGGCGACAAAATATCTAAATTGTAAAAGTTTCGGCAGGTCTTGAAACGGCCATGTCCTGAGCTTGGTTGAAATTCTTCCACGCATTTAAAAATAATCGCGAAAAATTAGGATCTCAAGGGGTCTGGCGTTAACAGTAGGTTAGGAGAAAAAGGCGGCCTTATCTCATTTTGCCACGGTAATCTGGCCCGCCGAGCTCTTCTGCCAGTTTAGCTTGAACGGCTGCGGCGTTGTTGGAGGTCGCTCTGTGCTGTTGAAATGCAACGTGACCCTTTGGGCAAGTCCCCTTGACGCTCGGGTTGATGCGCCTGTTCAGGAACACCTCAAGGACAGGGCCTCGGCTAACATGTTAACTGGTGGGCCAAATGGCCCACCAGTTACCCGAAATGGCCCACCAGCCTCAAAGATTTGGCCCACCAGTAATTTTCCGAAAAATCTAAGTTTTCACATTTTTCACATTTCAAATTGAATTAGCAGATCTTATCGTACAGTTTCAGGCTGTAAAATACACATCGGTGAAACATATTCTTGTGAAAAAAACTTCAACCTATTGTTTGCAATATCCTTGGGGTAAAAAGTGGACTATAGTACCCGCAACTTAAAAAAGAATGATCGTCGTTGCCCGCCTAATACCATCACCATTCCCGGTTTCTTGAGACAACCCACAGTGATGCAAATGGGGTTCACGAGTGGCCATAAATACCCAAAAGTCAAGTTTACCAAATCGAGTTAATTGCGATATGGCCGAGTAGACAAATGTTTGGGGCATCTGAAATCACATGGTTTTCATGTTTTTGTCAAAACCGGCCTCGTGTATAATCGTCAGAAGTCGTGACATTTTCTAGGTCGTAAAATGACGGTCAGACACTCGCAAGTTCAAACGCCGCTGGTTTGCGTTCATTTCTTACAAATTGAAAAAATTATGCATGGGAATGATCCCCAAAGCCTTCTGCTTCTAATGCCGGGTCACAAAAAGCCGTATCTCATTCGCTTTGGCGGTAATCTGACTATTTATCATCATGTTGCAATCGCAGTTTTTTACCAAGAAAAAAAATGCTTTCGTTTCACCTACAGCACTTAACACAGTGTGTGCCCGTTAGTCCACCATACCATAGCCTTCCCTAATCATTTCTGAGTCACATCGTGAAAGAATTAAGGTGCTAGCACAGGGCTGACCGGCGCTACAGAGGTTTTTGTCCGGGCGGTCGGGTGCCGCAGTGGGCGCGCAGTGGGCGGGTGGGTGCCGTCGCGCGGCGTCCGGGCGGCGCGGCGGCGCGGCCGCCCGGGCCGCCCGCTGCGCCGCGGCACCCGACCGTGCCGGACGAAAACTTCTGTAGCGCCGGTCAGCCCTGTGCTAGCGCCTTTGTTCTTTCACGATGCGACTCAGAAATGATTAGGGAAGGCTATGATATGGTGCGCTAACGGGCACACACTGTGTGAAGTGCTGTAGGTGAATTGAAAGCAAATATTTTTGGTAAAAAACTGCGGTTGTAACACGATTACATATAGTTAGCTCACCGCCAAACCAAAATAGATATGGCTTTTATGACGTGGCATTAGAAGCAGCAGGTTTCAGGGATCATTTTCATGTATAATTTTTGCAGTTTGTATGACATGAACGCACGCTAGCGGCACTTGAATTTCAAGTACCTGACAGTCATTTTACGACATCGAAAATGTCTCGACTTCTGACAATCATACACGAGGCCGGTTTTGACAAAAACATTAAAATCATACTTTTTCAGACACCCCAAACATTTGCCTGACTGACCATATTACGATTTATTCGATTAAGTGAACTTGAATTTTGGGCCTTTTTCGTATTTATGGCCACTCGTGAATTCCATTTGCATCACTGTGCAACCGTAGCGTAGGTTAAGCCTCAGTCGCACTTCACCGGATTGGACCAACGAGTGGTTGCAGTCACATAAGCATCTGCCGCAGGCCAGTCGGTTACAAGAAAAACTACGAATAAAGAACAGACCAGTTCAGACGGTCGGGGATAAGCCTGCGAGCGATCTCAGACGGCTCGCCGATAGACACGATACAAGCCAGAGTCAAACTAGAGGTAGTGTCGGCGACTTCCAGCCGATTGAAGTCTGCAAGCGATAATATAGGTACGTCTTCACGACCGGTATGATGCTTGCAGTCACACATCTGACCAGTCGGATGAATTTCGAGCCGTTCACAGTCAGCGTTCCAAAAATTTCTCATTTGGGCTGAAGATGACATTCAAGAATAAGAATGGATAATTTTCCACTCTCACATTTTGGGTTGCTAGAATTTTCCACTCAGACACCCAAGGGAAATCTGAAGCTTGGGACACTGTTCACCAGAAGTGTACATAACTTTTTTATAGAAAATATTAGGGTTGCGCAGTGCGCTTGGGCTAATTGAGTAAATTATTTTCCATGCGACACCAATAGGCCTAATGATCATTTTCAGAGATGTTGGGGTTGCTGCTACAACCCCCCTTTGGGGTTCCTGCTACAACCCACTTTATATAGGTATAAAGTTGCACTCGTGCTGTTCACAATTCCATTCCTCCACAATTCCTCCCGATCCACTCGACAACGCCCGATCCCGTCCGACCGCTTTCGATTCTCCGACTCTTCGACTCTTCGACTAGTCGGCGTGCGATCCACTCAGGGCTCGCTGATTTTAACATCCGATCGGCCGTAAGTTATATCCTCCAAAGTTTTATAATCTGCGTCAATATTTTGTGTATACTTGTGCGATTTTATGTGCACCCCGCTGGAGTATCAGCACTGAGAGGGTTGTGGGTCCCTACCCTCTCCTCTCTCTGAAGAGTCGGGTGGGGGGGGGGGGGGGTCGAGCCCAGTTTTTTTACATTTTTTGAATGCCATCCTGACGTTTTTTTTTTTTTGCAGAATAAAGTGGCCGAAATCTGGGGAGAAATCGAAAATTGGGGGGGGGAGGGCTATGGCTACGAAGGTCAGTCCATGTCGCTGCCCAAGTGGCCCACCAGTCAAAATTCCTTAGCCGAGGCCCTGCTCAAGGACCAGCCTGTTATTCAGTTATGACATTGACGAAGATGATGGAACGTTTTTGTCCATTAGAAACCCGAACTTTCTTCGATTGCCGCTGAACTGCTGCTACGTTCTCGGTAGTCTTGACATACCGCGGCCGTACCGGTCTGTGAATATTTTCTAAGGAACTCCGAGTCGGAATAAACATTTACCTGCTCAACTAATCGCCGAAAAAACCGCATCGCGCTGCAACTCGCGTCTCGTCCAAGCCGCACCGGGCCCCCGCGCGCGGGCTCTCAGCGACAAGGCGCATCTTTGCCCATCTACCATCACTGAAAGCGACTTTAAGGTCGTATTTACACGACCCGGCCTGTAGTGTATGTCAATAATTAGGGCATCGACTCAATCTCCTGTCAAAGGCAGGAGAGTCGGAGATATACCAGAGGGCTTGGCAAAGAGGTGAAGGAGATACTCTACATAGGTTGGGTCATTCTGTAGTTGGCTTGGAAACAGCGGCGTATTTCGTATTTAAGACTTACCTTTCGCTGAATGACTTGCCTGAAAGAATAATTTCATTCCGGCCTGCCTGGACTTTTCAACTGTCTTTAGCCAGCGCATTGAGCTATGTACGAGCAGGACTGTAGGTCAAATCCCCAGTCAATTACTATGTACCTCCCTCCGTCTCCCCCTGCGGTACGTACCTCGTTGGCCACTCCCCCCCCCCCGCGGTACGTACCTCGTTGGCCACTCCCCCCGCGGTACGTACCTCGTTGGCCACTCCCCCCCCCTCCCCCGCGGTACGTACCTCGTTGGCCACTCCCCCCCCCGCGGTACGTACCTCGTTGGCCACTCCCCCCCTCCCCCCCGCGGTACGTACCTCGTTGGCCACTCCCACCCGCGGTACGTACCTCGTTGGCCATTTCCCCCCCCCCGCGGTACGTACAGGTCTCGCGGGTTTTAGCGGTTGGTTTTGCACCTAGAAAATTTAGTGTACTTCAGGCTATATCTTCGTCGTCTTAAGCTTTTAAGTGTTCGAAGATGCGATCGACTTGTTGGGTAACAAGTCGGCCATGATCTTGTAAAATGGCTTCATCGTAGATCGATTAGTTTCTGAGATATAACCGGAAATGTAAAAGTGCAAAACCTACCGCTTAATCCCGCGAGACCTGAGGCCATTATTATAAAATAAATTCCGAGCCGGCTGCGAATTTAATTCCCAATTCTGAGCCATTGGTTATTATAAAAATGCAGCCTGAAAAAAATCGAGCGGTAAAAAGAAGACAAAGTCACGTGGCGGTGGACGCAAAATTTCCAAGCTACTGATTGTTATAAAAATGACTCTTTTACAATTCAAGGCGCATAAAGTGCGTCACAATTGTACAAAACTGTGAATTTTCAGCCAAAAATTGCAGTCGGGTACCAGCGTCATAAAATTTTGCAAAGCTAGTCTTATAATGATAATTTCACGCCTTATCCTGAAAATACTTAAGAACATGCATATTGTACAGATTAAGAGCACTTCAAACTTTAAAATTACACTAAATCGTTAGCTTTGTGTCATCACCGGGATAGTCTAGCAAGAAGAGAAGTGAGCTGCATTTATCCCCATTGAGATGAAGTAGCACTCAGACTTCCTGGTAATGGTGTAAATTGCAGGGCTTTTCATAGTCACTTAATTGTGAGTATACTTTGTAAATAAATTATCCCCGCACGCCTAGAGCAAACCAAAATTAATATATCTATGTAATTTATTTCGGTCTTTCTTTTTAGTGTTAGATCACATTTAGCTATAAATTAAGCTGGGAAAAGCCTGTGTTTCAAATACTTCGATAGTGATATAAAGATATAAAGACCAACAATTATAAAATTTCGTTTCTTAATTTATGATTTCATGACAGCCTTCAAACACGACCAATATAGGTACCTACGTAGGTACGTGTGCCCATTTATGAATAAGTACAGTGTACCAAGGCTCATCGAAACATATTTTCTCTACATATATTGTGCCCAATTAGCCGGTAAGCGACGTAAAAATAACCAAAAATGTGTGGATAACATTAAAGCCTGCCGAAGCCCCTCACCGTTCCTCGCCATGTCGCTCGTGTTACTGTATTTCCGTCGGCTGCTGTGCGCCTTCTCCTCTTTCCCCGGGAGAAGGTGGACAACCATGCCCGGTCCGCGGTCGTGCTAGGATACAACAATAACAATTGTGCAAGTAGCGTAATCTGATAGCAATATAGGCATATAGTGTTACCGTAACCGAACACCAAATGGCTGCGCTTGCCGTTGAGGAAGAAGATGAATTACGTGATATGCTAGTGAACGGTCATAGACGGCCCCGTCAGCGCCGCAGAAGAGTGTTTCGACCACGAATTAACCTGGAGTGGCCGATGGAAGGACAATTTCGGTAAGTCAGAGTGAATGTTTTCAGTATGACAAATGTGTGCTTTAAACCGATAGTTGCTCAGGTATTTCGCCACCCACCACCCATGTAGGTAGGTTTCAAGGTTAGGTCAAACAAATTAGCGACAGTCACATACCCTCAAAATCAAAGTTTATATTTGTAGCACATGTTGTACGTGTACTTTTAGGGGTGAAACTTGGCGGTGACATCCATTTATGATATGAGTACGTATTTAGTCAAAAAGCTGAACATAACCCTCGCCGGCCGAAGGGATGGATGTCCCTTCCGCGTTTTCACTTTTCAAAACATAGGATAATTTTGGTGGAAAACTTACACTTCATGATGTAGCTATGACATCAGTGTAAAAAAACAACCGACTTTTCAAATGCTTCCAAAATCAACTTTCAATTTGCTACAGGCACCCAGAATATGGCGCGTAACTAACTAATTGGCGCGGAATTGCATCGCAACTATAGGGAACGAAATATTGCCATCATCTACGTCATGTTCCTTGCAGGCTACCATAACCATTTAACTTTAAAGCCGGACATTGCAATATTCCTTGCCATTGGAAAATTATTTCAGCTAGACTTTAGTTATGCGCATATCGCTTTATTTTTTTCCCAATTTATTAGGTGATCATGCAATTGATAACGGTAAGTGTTCACAACGCATCGGGCATGGCATTTCGCAAACGCTGTACTAACTGTACCCTGTACCCTTTTAAATAAGTGCTGACATATGCAGGCATGCGGAAAAAGTGGCAGTTTTTAGGTCACCACCAACCAAGGATCCCCATTTTAAATCTGTTAATACGCGACAATCGGGTATGCATCGGTTATTAGCAGCATAAGCAAGCTTATTCATTTTTTTCAGCGAACGGTTCAGGGTCGACTCGGGCACGGCAACCGATATCGAAGCCAGGGTTGGCCCTGCCCTTCAGCATCCATCCGGCCGGAACATGGCTCTAACGCCGCGCCAGCAGCTTCTTATCGCACTTCGGTACGTACTTAAACAGTGTGCGTGCAAGATCACATGAAATTAAAATAGATGCAAATGCATACCCGAAAGAAGGTACATCCATGCATGCATACGTTCATGCATACATAATTCATGTCTACATGCATTGACATGAGAACATTCATAAGCCACCCAAATATATTATGCGCCATCATAGTCATACCATAGTCATTCCAAAAGATGAATTTTTACCAAAAGTTGCTTAGACGGAAAAGCATAACAATGTTTCTAACACTGGTATCATCTTCCAGGTTCTTCGCAACCGGTGCATTCTACATAATTGTTGGTGATGGCCACGGTCCGTCGACGGCTACAGTAGGCCGCGTCATCAAACGTGTCGTGCTGTCCATCCTTGCGGCTTTCGCCGGAGTCGTTAGATGGCCGTCAGCTGCTGAGGAGCTGCAAAACATCCAACAGCGGTTTTCTCGGATCGGCGGGATTCCCAATGTCGTTGGTAAATAGCTCCCTTGCTGTTTCTCTATTGATGGGAAAAGTATACGCACTATGTTTCTTGCCATACCGTGTCTTGTTAACCCGATGGGCTATTCAGCGTGCTAGGGGAGGGGACAGATTCTCCCCCCCCCCGCGTAACTTCCGAGCCGATGATCGTAGATAGAACGGGGAGAAGCCAATCGAAAGGTTTTAACAAGACGAACCCTTTGAGCTTAATGTTTTTTGCCTAAGCAGGTCAATAAGTATACTAAACGATAGTAAGTATCGCCTAAATGGTAGACTGTGCCGGCGCACGACGGTTTCGGTTTTGCATTGCGTTGCTTACCACTGATTATGATTGATTAGCGTCAAATTTTGTGTAAAGACTTAGAAATGCACAATCTTAATATTAAAAAATACGAACATCGGCCGGTAACATTTTGAGTTATGATGGTGTAAACTCAAAGTTGTGACTGAAATGCTTCCTGCGTGGGGGGATACCCGCCTCAGCCGGCGACATCTTACTTTTAGAAGGCTTCTAACGGCCATATTTATGGTTGGATTAAAGGGACTATCCCACCTTTAACATGGGGTTTGAGTTGAGATAGCCAAGTTTGCGGCGAGGTTCAGAAACCACTATCTATCTAGGTTGCAACCCCCGCGGACTCTTGGTGTTGAAGAAATTCGTTCCCTTCATTTGAAAATGGGCCTTGTACAAGGCGCTATCTTCAACATGGAGCGACCGTTAGTGTGACGTCACCTCGTTTAGTCATTCTGATTTAAATGGGTTTGTTCGTTGAAAAATCGCTTAAAACTTGGTCTGAACTTTGTTGTGGTGCCTACAGAGTAAAAAGAATCAGCTTTATGACAGTAATGTGGCCTGGGGAAGGAGGTAATTTTGGGCTGTGATGTCACATATTTGAAAGTTTGTGTTTGGAATATGGGAAGCCTAAGATGTTTAATGAAAAATAAATGCCAGAACCGTGTTCCTGGTCATCCAATCTATAAAGTCGGGCACAATTTAACTGGTTTTAACAACATTTTAGAAGGTGGGATAGTCCCTTTAACTAGAAATTATATATTTATACGCGAAGACATATTTCGTGTCGTGAAGTGTTAGAAGTGAGAAAATCGACCGGTAACTTTTTGAGTTAGGGGCATGTAAACACAAAACAGTCCTTTATATGGCAAATTTGATCACGCTTGACCTCATTTGACCTTGAATGTGTTATTTGAACTAGTGTCATGACATTTACACACAAGAGTTTCCTATCGCCGCCACCCACGCTCCGAATTTTGTCTTTCTTACTTTTATAGGAGCTGAGATCTTAGGTGGGGGGGGGGAGGCGACATTCACTCCCCCTTTCCACTGGGCGTAGTTCTCAGAACCTTTGTGCTGCGCGTGTTAAAAATCACTGGTAGCTTATTTGGATTTCGTTTGCATGTTTCTTTCAGGTTGCGTGGATGGCACTCATCTCAGGCTCCAAGTGCCAAAGAACAAAAAAGACCTCTACATGAACAGGAAGGGATATACTTCGGTCAACTGCATGGCCGTTGCAGGACCGGACCGGCAATTTTTCGCTGCCAGCGTGCAGTGTTCCGGCCGCGTGCACGACGCCAGAGTGTTGACAACATCAGGCCTAGACGAATAGTAAGCTACCACAATGTTGCAGGAATGTCACTGCTTCTCCTCCCACGCCCATCTGTCTCATATACCTATTTGTTATTCCTATGCAAAACAGGACTAGTTCAGAAATGATTGCTCGACCAACTTATGGGGGAGGGGGGATGAAATGATCTTCTTTCGGATTTTTGCAAATGATTCGCTAAAAAGCAAAGGATCACGACGAAACCTCGAACTAGTGCCCTCGAGTTAACTAATTTTACATCTACCCTATGAATTTCATGACCCTGACCCCATTGCCCTTTGTCCTGTGACCTGTTTATCCTGACCGTTTCAGGTCAGTTTCAGTTCAGATTCGGCATATGTCGGCGCGCATTATCCATGCGTTTCCAAACTTTTTTTTGCGATGATTTTGACAACTTGTGGAAAAGTCTAAGGCAAGTTTCGAATTAAGCATTCTCTTGAGCATATGTCGCGTTAGGCAAGGCCCACAAATCGACTAGATAAATCCTTGCTTCCAAGCATCCTTCCTTGCATTCCAGCTTCCGCGCGGGTGGCCCGGTACAGCACGGGATGCTTCTCGGAGATAGCGCATATCCTTTAACCCACTGGCTCATGACGCCAGTAGCCGATCCAGCGACACCAGCTGAAATGGCGTAAGTGAGGCATCACTTGGGGTACTAGTGACATACCCTTCTTACGTATGCTTACAATATACTCTCAAAATATTATTTTCCTGTCAAGTGTCAGTGTCACCTCTCACCGTCTCTTTCGACGTTCTAAAACAGCATTTTCATTGGATGGCTAACACTACTCAGAAGTAATCAATTAACATCTGCCTATACCAACAGGTACAACCGTGCGCACGCGGCTACGAGAGTGCTGGTGGAGAATGCGTTTGGGGTTTTGAAGCGACGCTTCCCAGGGCTGGACACGGGCCTCCGCATGCGGCGAATCGCAGACAGCGTCCGTGCATTCCGGTAAACAATGAACTAATATACGTACATCATTATCCTTTACAGTTCCAGGGTAACAACAATCATGAGGGACGAGGGACATTCGTCTCTACCAATACCTCCGCGAATAGAGCAGCTACGTAAGGAAAAGCGATACCTATCAAACAAAAATTACGTAGATTTTATTCTAATAAACCTCACTTTCCCCCTAGCTCTATTTGCTTTATTTGTCCCACTCCCACTGAATGGTGTGTGCTGATTTACAGAGCAATGATCGTGCTCCATAACATCTGCATCGCTCATGGTGACCTGGGTAACTGGCTGGATGATGAACTGCAGGAGGAGCCGCACCTTCAAGGCGCGGAAGTTGAAGCGGAAATCCCCGCCGAGGCCGTCCAGAGACGAGAAGGACGCATGCGTAGGAGCGCTCTCATCCGTTTGTTCCAGTAAATGCCTTCCAGCACTTCAGGTTGTGCTGTGTTGATTGCAAGGATGCTGAAACTGTTTGTTTGATTAGTGTATATATTAAGCTCAAGGACATCACCATACAAGTGACGTTAGTTTGGTAATTGCCAACGTTCGAGAAAACTCTTAACGCCAGAGTATTCCGACAACCTGAAAGGAAATGCAAGACGTAGATGCGCAGGAGCGCAGTAACCATCCGTCCATTTCAGTGACAGTCTTACTGTGTGCTTCAATTTGTGCTGTGCTCATTGTACAGAATGATGTTGAAACTGTTTGTTCGATTAGTTTATATGTTGGGCCGCCCAAGACCATCACTATGCAAGTGATATTGTTAGTTTGTTCATTGCCAAAGTTTGGGAAAACTGTCAACACCAGTGTATTCTGTCAACCAGAATTAAAATACAACCGTAGATGGCATTTTCCACCTGACTTTCACAGCTTCAAATGTAACCTCATTGCGGAGGCCTATGCCAACATCCTACCACATCGCCACAGCTGCCTTAACCTCTTCGACCGATACACTGTCGGCCCTAGCCGCCAAGCCTTTTAACATCTTAAGTACTAGAATTTGTCGCACCTTGTCGCGTTCTTGATCCGTTAACTCTTCCTCCGGCATAGCGAGAAGGGCCCTGTTAGCGTCACCCAGCTCTCTGCGGCTCGGTCGGGAGACACCCATACACATCAACGGGTCTTCTCTTGACCGCTGGCCGACACTGGACCTCATTTTCAGCCGGGGAGGTGCTGGACTGGCGGTGGACGCTGGTGACACTGCATACAGTGACTTACGAGCATCTTCCTCGCTCTCAGGCATCTCAATTGGCGGCAGACTGGGTGACTGGGTCGCCCAGTCGTTGATACCACGACCACCGGGAACAGCCACCGCTTCGGCTTCGGCGTCCCTGCCTGAAATGAAAAGGGTGCTAAAAACTAGTATGACGGAGCGCTCCATTGACACGCATAAGTATCACGACAGACAGACAGACTAGACAGATCGAGACCGAGACCGAGACCGAGACCGAGACCGAGACCGGGACCGAGAGTGAGAATGAGAGTGAGAGTGAGAGTGTGAGAGAGAGAGAGGGAGAGAGAGCGAGAGAGGGAGGGAGGGAGGGGGAGAGAGAGAGAGAGAGAGAGAGAGAGAGAGAGAGAGAGAGAGAGAGAGAGAGAGAGAGAGAGAGAGAGAGAGAGAGAGAGAGAGAGAGAGAGAGAGAGAGAACTCACCAATGACATCCAGCACGATCTCGTCCAGCTCTGTCAGTGATGTACTCGAATCACATCCTTGTCCCGTCCGGTTCCGTTTCCTGAGTTTTTCTGCCGATAGAGGAATTTGCAGCTTGAGCTAGCTACCATTTTCATTTTCAACTTCAGTTTGCACACTTTTGCATGAGGAAATAATATACGACTATACCGAGGTTCAGGTATCACGCTCAAGGGTATCAACATGTTAATGAACTTAATATAGTATTTCCTCAACAGTGCAGTTTTGAAGTTCATAGCGACAGAAATCAATTTAGAATGGGGGCTAAGCCACCAGCTAAGCTACGACGTTGGGCTGATTTCCACCCTTCTTTACAAAGAAAATGAACCTAGTAGCCTGCGCAGCGAGATACTGCACCGCAAGACAGGGATGCTGTGCCGCCAGACACGTCATGGGCGTGAGTGTCAGAATGCGCAGCCGATACCGTAGTACCAGTTGGTTAGTTACTCACCCCGGGTTCGCTGCACCGTGTTATTGAAACAGTTTTTCTTGAACTGAGCGATGCACACATCGGGCTTGCAAAGTCCAAGATCGACACCCTTTTTCTTTACTTCCTGCCAGGCTTGTTGCCGGGTGTGCTGGCCGTTCACAGTTTTGAACTCTCCAAATAACTTCTGTAAATGGATCAAGTGATGGTTGGAATTATTGCAATATTTAGTGGGACCCATCCCATAATGCACGCTTCACAGCCTACTCAATAAAAATGAAATCTTTCAGACCGTAGCTACAAAATGGGTAGGCAGTAGGCACCTCATTTTAGTAAGCCTCATTTCAAATGTCCTAGAAAATGAAACAAAAAGGGAGCTTTGTCACCTTTGACATAACGAGCATACTATAGCAATGCGCAGCTGCTGAAATGAATTCGGTAACCATTCGATATGTTACATACAAAACAAAAGTGGCTTACGTATTTACTATTTAATATGCAGTTAATCTTTCGTTGAAATTGAAAATAAAAATGGACAAAAATGAGAGAACAACAAATGGATAGCATATCATGACTTGAAGCATAACTGGGTGCGGATATTTAGAATCATAGTGCGTTGTAATGCACCAATGCTAAGCCAAACAATGCATGAATTGGCGAAGTTGAATTCAACATTGAGGTGAAAATGATAACAGGAAATGATAGGTACTTACATCTTTCAATTCTCTTATCAGGATAAACAGCTCTTTTTTCTTCGATGCTGACTCTACGTGCTTCATTCTTGCTAAGTTGATCAACACGTACCGTTTAAAACCGTTAATCAATTAAAATCAAACATGACCAATAGCCCAGATTGGCCCAGATAATGTTGTTTGCTTTCAACAGCTGATAACTCGAGTCTCGACATATTTTGTTTTTGGAGAAATTAGTAAACTTCATTACAAATGTTCTTGCAATAGTCTGCAAACGTATTCTATATAATTGTATACCTAAAATTATTGATATGATCTTCTTATTTTAAGATTTATTTTAAAAAAATCATTAAATTACAATTAATTAAGGTCTTGAAGTATGATATCACACCTCACTGTCTCACTTTTTCCAGCCAAAAAATGAGCCGGGAGATGCCTAAAATTGAAGCACGCTCTTAGTTTTATAATAATGAGAAAAGCAGCCGGCTGCTTTATTCGGCTCGATTTTTATTTGCAGCCGTTGTCTCGATTTTATTTTATAATAATGGCCTCTGTACTTCGTTGGCCACTCCCCCCGCGGTACGTACCTCGTTGGCCACTCCCCCCGCGGTACGTACCTCGTTGGCCACTCCCCCCCTCCCCCCGCGGTACGTACCTCGTTGGCCACTCCCCCCTCCCCCGCGGTACGTACCTCGTTGGCCACTCCCCCCCCCCCCGCGGTACGTACCTCGTTGGCCACTCCCCCACCCCCCGCGGTACATACCTCGTTGGCCACCCCCCCCCCCCCCACCCCGCGGTACGTACCTCGTTGGCCACCCCCCCCCCCGCGGTACGTACCTCGTTGGCCACTCCCCCCGCGGTACGTAACTCGTTGGCCACTCCCCCCGCGGTACGTACAGGGTGTCCAGAAAAAAAGATACTAAGGAAATTAAGTCGCATTCATTAACGCACGTGCCGATTTTGTTCCAACTTCATGTGCTTATAGTGCAAGATTTGGCAAAACTCATGAGCACTGCAATGCGTCGTTGGAAAGCTGTCTGCCTGCCCTCTGAGATGGTCAACATGACCATCAGCCACCTGCAGACTGTGCTAGTGCTGGAGCTGATCCGCCGTAAGGCCACTCACATTGAGTATCTGCTTTGAGGAGCTGCCGCGACTAACCAAAGAGTTTACGTGCCATGTGGCACCTGCTGTCTGTTTTGCCATATTTTTGCGAATACAAACATGTGCCATTTTAAAATGTCAGGTGTGTATTTTCGGAAATACAGCAAAAAATAATAGTATCCGTTTTTTCTGGACACCCTGTACCTCGTTGGCCACTCCCCCCCCCCCGCGGTACGTACCTCGTTGGCCACTCCCCCCGCGGTACGTACCTCGTTGGCCACTCCCCCCGTGGTACGTACCTCGTTGGCCACTCCCCCCGCGGTACGTTCCTCGTTGGCCACTCCCCCCCCCCCCGGGACGTACCTCGTTGGCTAGGGACTCCGTTAGCAGCTGGCCGGCGTACACGCAGATGAAGCCGCCCTTGGGGATGTCGTCCAGACAGCGAATGCCCCAGCCGCGCCGCAGCGTTTTAAACACCTGCAGCCGCAGCCGCAGCGGGTGCTGGCACACCCGGTTCAGACAGGTGCGCCGGCACTTACACCTGGCAGCGGTCAGCGAAGGGCGTCAGCGGGAGGTCAGCGGTCAGCGGGGGCGTCAGCAGGTCAGCGGTCAGCGGGGGAAGGGGGGGGGGGCGTCAGCGGCCATCCCACGAGGCCAGACTAGGGGCGGTGCGGACGGACATATACCAGACTAGGGGCGGTGCGGACGGACTGGGGGCGGTGCGGACGGACTGGGGGCGGTGCGGACGGACTGGGGGTGCTGTGGACGGACTGGGGGCGGTGTGGACGGACTGGGGGCGCTGTGGACGGACTGGGGGCGGTGTGGACGGACTGGGGGTGCTGTGGACGGACTGGGGGCGGTGTGGACGGACTGGGGGGCGGTTTTGTTTGTTTATTAGGGCTTTAGAGCGCGTCGACTGCAAAGGTCATTTTGCGCCCATCCAACTGGGGGGGGGGGCGGTGTGGACGGACTGGGGGCGCTGTGGACGGGCTGGGGGGGGGGCGGTGTGGACGGACTGGGGGGGGGGCGGTGTGGACAGACTGGGGGTGCTGTGGACGGACTGGGGGCGGTGTGGACGGACTGGGGGCGGTGTGGACGGACTGGGGGCGCTGTGGACGGACTGGGGGGCGGTGTGGACGGACTGGGGGCGGTGTGGACGGACTGGGGGCGGTGTGGACGGACTGGGGGCGGTGTGGACGGACTGGGGGCGGTGTGGACGGACTGGGGGCGGTGTGAACGGACTGGGGGCGGTGTGGACGGACTGGGGGTGCTGTGGACGGACTGGGGGCGGTGTGGACGGACTGGGGGCGGTGTGGACGGACTGGGGGCGCTGTGGACGGACTGGGGGGCGGTGTGGACGGACTGGGGGCGGTGTGGACGGACTGGGGGCGGTGTGGACGGACTGGGGGCGGTGTGAACGGACTGGGGGCGGTGTGGACGGACTGGGGGCGCTGTGGCTGTGTAGACTGTGGATTGACACATTCCAGACCAATGTAATGGCGGACGGGCACGGGCAACGCAGTCCCGCCGCGAGAACATTTCAGGGCCAGACTGAGTGAACAGGACTGGACTGATGGCGACTGCCCCAGACCTAAGGAACTCAAGCCTGTCCGGACGACTGGAGGAGCCGGCCCTCCCTCTCACCTGGCGTTGCACTCGTAGATGCCGGTGATGACGTTGCCATTGACCAGTCGCCGGAAGTGGTAGCCGGCCGACGGGTCCAGCTGGCCGGTGGGACCGAACTCGGTGCCCTGGATGGTCTGCTGCCAGCACGAGCAGCGCTCCTTGTCCTGCCGGCCGGCCGGCGCGTCAGTGGCCGGCCCGTGCAGCGCGCCACACCAGTGCACGGTGCTCAGCGTTCAGACGGAGCTGTTATCCTGCGCGCGGACGGCCGGACTCGGCTCGGTCGGGCCGGGTCATTGTGTGTGTGTGTGGGGGGGGGGGCAGAGTGGAGGGAGGTGTGCGGTCCGCGCCGCGCCGCCGCTCTCTCTCTCCCGGCGGCGGCGCTCGGAGCGGACCGACGCGGCTCTGTCGGCCCGGCTGGCCCGCACGGCCGGCGCTGGTCGGCCGGCCGGGACGCAGCGCGGCCGTGACCCGACCCGACCGGTGGCCGGCCCGGCGCGCCCGGCTCAAACCTTTTACTGCTCATCAGGTGCGCGGTGTGCGGCGGGCGGTGAGAGCGGCGCGCCCGCGGCGGCGGCACCCACCTGGCAGTCGTCCGTGCAGTCGCAGCACGTCAGGAAGTCGGCGTCCAGGTTGAGGTGGACGCCATCGGTGGGCAGCCGGCGCGTACTGTACTCCACGTAGTCGGGATAGTCGCGGTTCAGCGAGTTGACACACGACACGGGCACGTTCTCCTTTCCGTACGAGATGTCCTGCGCGCCGCCGGCGGGTCACATCAGTCACAGCTCCACAGACGGCGGCGGCGGGCCACAACCACATACAGTCACAGCTCCACAGACGGGCGGCGGCGGGCCACAACCACATACAGCCACAGCTCCACAGACGGGCGGCGGCGGGCCACAACCACATACAGCCACAGCTCCACAGACGGGCGGCGGCGGGTCACATCAGTCACAGCTCCACAGACGGCGGCGGCGGGCCACAACCACATACAGTCACAGCTCCACAGACGGGCGGCGGCGGGCCATAACCACATACAGCCACAGCTCCACAGACGGGCGGCGGCGGGCCACAACCACATACAGCCACAGCTCCACAGACGGGCGGCGGCGGGCCACAACCACATACAGCCACAGCTCCACAGACGGGCGGCGGCGGGCCACAACCACATACAGTCACAGCTCCACAGACGGGCGGCGGCGGCGGGCCACAACCACATACAGCCACAGCTCCACAGACGGGCGGCGGCGGGCCACAACCACATACAGCCACAGCTCCACAGACGGGCGGCGGCGGGCCACAACCACATACAGCCACAGCTCCACAGACGGGCGGCGGCGGGCCACAGCCCACAACCACATACAGTCACAGCTCCACAGACGGGCGGCGGCGGGCCACAACCACATACAGCCCCAGCTCCACAGACGGCGGCGGCGGGCCACAACCACATACAGCCACAGCTCCACAGACGGGCGGCGGCGGGCCACAACCACATACAGCCACAGCTCCACAGACGGGCGGCGGCCCCCCACAACCACATACAGTCACAGCTCCACAGACGGGCGGCGGCGGGCCACAACCACATACAGCCACAGCTCCACAGACGGGCGGCGGCGGGCCACAACCACATACAGCCACAGCTCCACAGACGGGCGGCGGCCCCCCACAACCACATACAGTCACAGCTCCACAGACGGGCGGCGGCGGGCCACAACCACATACAGTCACAGCTCCACAGACGGGCGGCGGCGGGCCACAACCACATACAGCCACAGCTCCACAGACGGGCGGCGGCGGGCCACAACCACATACAGCCACAGCTCCACAGACGGGCGGCGGCGGGCCACAACCACATACAGTCACAGCTCCACAGACGGGCGGCGGCGGGCCACAACCACATACAGCCACAGCTCCACAGACGGCGGCGGCGGGCCACAACCACATACAGCCACAGCTCCACAGACGGGCGGCGGCCCCCCACAACCACATACAGTCACAGCTCCACAGACGGGCGGCGGCGGCGGGCCACAACCACATACAGCCACAGCTCCACAGACGGGCGGCGGCGGGCCACAACCACATACAGCCACAGCTCCACAGACGGGCGGCAAGGTGTACGAAAATAGTCCACGCAGTGCCTACATTTATCCGTGCGTTTCCAGACTTGTTGTAATAAAAAAGGTGTAATAAAAAACGAAGCCCTAGCTCGATCAGGGGCCAAACGGCTGGGGCAAGGGAATCCGACGAACCGCCTTCTCCCCCCCCCCCCCACACCTGGTACGTAAGCGGCTGGCAAAACGCCAATACGGGCGAGGGCTATAGGAGTGAAGTTAGACCCGGTTCGGTACCAGTCGGCCCAGTTCACAGAGCCGCCCAGCCCGGCCACCGCCGCCCGGACTGGCCACCGCCGCCCGGACTGGCCACCGCCGCCCGGCCCCGGGTCACAGAGCCGCCCGGCCCCGGGTCACAGAGCGGCCCGGCCACGCACCTTGATGCTGCAGAACTTTCTGGCCGGCTCGAACTCGGTGAAGCAGTGCACCCAGAAGTCGAAGCAGAAGCAGTCGATCTCCAGCCGGCAGCCGGTGATACTGAGGAAGTGGAACACCTCGTCCAGCGAGCGCAGGCGGCGGCCGCACGGCGCCCGGTACAGCACCGTCCGCTTACTGGTCCGGTGGCGCACGATCTCCCTGGCGGCCACAGCGGCGGCGGTCAGCGCCGGCACACACCACAGCGGCGGCACACACCACAGCGGCGGCGGTCAGCGCCGGCACACACCACAGCGGCGGCGGTCAGCGCCGGCACACACCACAGCGGCGGTCAGCGCCGTCACACCCCACAGCGCCGGCACACACCACACCACCGGCGGTCAGCGCCGGCAAACACCGCCTAGCGGCGGTCAACGCCGGCACACACCACAGCGGCGGCGGTCAGCGCCGGCACACACCACAGCAGCGGCGGTCAGCGCCGGCACACACCACAGCGGCGACGGTCAGCGCCTGCACACACCGCCGAGCGGCGGTCAGCGCCGGCGCACACTACCGGCGGTCAGCGCCGGCAAACACCGCCGAGCGGCGGTCAGCGCCGACGCACACAACCGAGCGGCGACGGTCAGCGCCGGCACACACAGCGGCGGTCAGCGGCGGCACACACCACAGCGGCGGCGGTCAGTGCCGGCACACACCGCTGAGCGGCGGTCAGCGCCGTCACACACCACAGCGGCGGCGGTCAGCACCGGCACACACCACAGCGGCGACGGTCAGCGCCGGCGCACACTACCGGCGGCCAGCGCCGGCACACACAGCGGCGGTCAGCGTTGGCGCACATCACCAGCGGCGGCCGGCCGACAGGCACACACCACACCGGGACACCACCAAATGCCAGAGCGCACAGCGGGACCCGCTGATCGGGTCCAGCCCCCCCCCCCCCAATGACCGCGTTCGCCCCACCCCCACCCCAACTGGCCGGGTACAGCCTCCCCTCCCCAATGACCGGGTCCCCCACTGACCGGATCCAGCCGCTCATCATGGGCATGAGCAGCGGATTGTTGCCCTTGAGCTGGTCCATGTCGACGTCGCTATAGTTTCGGATGCAGGCTCGCCCGCACGCGTGCGGCTGAAGACGGCGCGGCGTGACGCGCGGCTTGTTGGCGATCTGGGGAGGGGGGGGGGGGCGTCAGCGGGCGGATCCCTGACAGCCCGCCGTCTGATCGGCCGGCCGGCCGGGCGCCAGGGCTGACGTGTGCTCACCAGCCGGGCGTGCCACGCCAGCGGCTGAAGGCACGCCCAACCTCCCTCCCGCGTTTCATCTGCAGGACCCTTGGCGGTTCCAGAACCCTCGCTCGCCGTTGAGATATCTACGTAAGCTTCAATAGGGACGTGCAAATTGTGCCAGCTTGACGTCGTCTCAGAGCAATGTTAAAATGTTTCTAGTTAACATAGACAATGACGCATCAGTGTAACCAGAGCTTGTGTCCGGGATTATTGGCGGTCGCCGTCCAATAATGACAGCTAGGCTGACACAAAGCTAGTCAATAGCGTCGAAGCGAGCCTGGCCGTCTGCCGTGACGGGCGCCACTGCTCGTCGCTGCCCGCCCCGCACTGACCTCGGCGATCTGACCGTCGCCCTCCATGGGCGATATGGGCGAGATGAGACGATCGGTGGGCGGCGGCGGCGGCGGCGGCGACGGCGCCGCGCTCTGCGCCGTGCTCTTGCGCGCCACGGCGCGGGGCGCGGCGGCGCGGCGCGCGCCCAGCTCCTCCTCCTCCCGCTCGGCGTGCCGCGTGTACTCGACGTAGACGCGGTTTTTCTGCCGCACACCCGAGGGGTCAGCATCAGCGCGCGTCAGTGAACCATACCGGAGCATATACACGTAGGGCAGCGGCGGCCGGGACCGCGACAGCCGCACCGCAGCACACGCCACTCACAGCGGCGGCCCACCCGTCCGCTCTGAGCAGAGTGCCGCACCAGCCACCTGGGACCGTGTGCCACGGCTGGGCGCCCACCTTTCCCAGGTTGATGGTGTTGATGATGTTGCGCCGCGCGCCCGTGCCCAGTTTGCGCGGCTGCACGGGCACCAGCTCGGCGTACATTGGCGCCAGCCGGGTGGAGCCGCGGTAGATCCACTCCGAGTGGCGCTCCGACTCGAACACCATCAGCACCAGCGAGGCGTCCACCTCGGACACGCGGGCCGGCAGCCACTTCCCTGCCGACCGGGGGGGGGGGCGGTCAGACACCTCCCTGCCGACGGGGTGAGTCAGCCACCTCCCTGTCCACACATTCGAGATTTGCATTATATGCGCAATGCGCATTCGTTCAACAAAAGTGTCATGGCCAGTCAGTCCGCTCGCCGCATCGCCATCCTTCTGACTGCATTCCGCCCGTAATAGACCCGTCCCTCCGCCCGTAATGGACCTGTCTCTCCTCCCGTAGGAGACCCGCCCCTCCGCCCGTAATAGACCCGTCCCTCCGCCCGCAATGGACCCGTCCCTCCGCCGGCCGCCCGTAAGGGCCCGGGACCGGCGGCCACAGCGGCGGTCCGGCCGGTCCGTACCGTTGTACTCTGTCTTGACGAGCTGTCCGGGCTGCAGTTTGACCATGGGCCGCTCGGGGAACTGAGCCAGGTACTTGGCCACAAACTGGCGACACTCGGGGTGCACGTCGTCGGCAGCGTTGTTGGACGGCTGGCAGATGAGCTTCAGCTCGCGGTGCTGCACGTAGGCCGCGTAGCCGTCGTCGAAGAACACCAGGTACCTGGCGACACGGCCGGCCGGCGCTGTCACCATCACACTACACACCGACCTGGTGTCACTGGGCTGAACCACTCAGTACAACAGGCGGCCTGGGTGAAACACTACCCATTCCTCAGTAAAACGGGGGATGAGGGTGAAAAACTGCCGGCAAGACCAAACACACATCAAAAGCGGGAACACGAAGGACAGTATCAACTTCAACAAAGCTGTACTGCAACATCATATTCATCAAAACACGGAAGACTGCATCCGCTTCTACGGAGCTGAGATGGTGAATCTATACCTATTCACCAACCATCTAGTGATGAATAGTCACTGCGAACACAAAGGTGAGAAAACAAATCGGGGTTCAACTAGACCACTGGCCATTATGACTTTAATGTGCCGACTTCATTTTATGTCATGTCCAGACCAAACATGCTTTGTTTGTTTGTTTGTTTTGTTGGGTTAGGCTCTTTCGGTCTAATAAGACCATTTCAGAGCCGGAAGAATGATAGGAATTGGTGGGAGACATTGGTCTGGGCGGGCACCCTAGTGAGTCACCTGGGCTGAGACCACCCGCCTCCTGACATTCACGGCACCCGGCTGCGGGCGTGTGAGCGTCCCGCATGGGATAAAGGTGCCCGTCCAGCCCGAAACAGAGGGTTGAGGTGTGGAAAAGGATTTGATTTTCCTGAGGATGGAAAAGACGGAACGGTCAACCGTCAATGGCTAAACATGCAGATGCCCTTTTCATTTATGATTTAAATTGGGCGTGGAAAAATCGTTGGGGAAAAAGAAAGCATGTATGGAGAATTATTTTCATCTGGATGTCGTTTCCCACCGAAATACACAAATTTTGAGAAACTGCATAAACTCATAGTGATGGTACTATTTATAGTCACCGTGATGGTACTACTACGTCGCACCGATACTCAGTGCACAAACACATACACTTATACAGTAGAGTGGTATCAAAATTAGTTGACACACGCCAAGCAGCCATCACCGACCGCACGTTCCCTGTCACGCACCCCATGGGGCACTGGTGCGCTGGCTGGGGCCATCCCCATCTCCCGGGCCCGGCAGGTCAGAAGGCTGCTCCGGGACATGAAGCGAGGCCGTGCCCTCGGGACATGTCACCGGACCGAAGGATCTGTTTAAAGGCGGATCAGGCCCGTGTACCTGCGGCCGGGGGCGCTGGCTGGCACAGCGGTAATCCCCACGACCGAGCGAACACTCCCCAGTTACTGCCATCTCCTGGGTGGGAGCCGGCCGAGGAAAACGCTGCCAGAGGTCAGCTTTGACCTAAGAACCATCGACGCCACTGCGGGCGCATCAGACAGCCGCGCCGAAAGGGTTGACGGAAATGCAGCAGAGTCGTTATCAGGGTAGTACGATGACTAGCCGACTATGCACTCATATATCTTACATTATCCCGCACCGTAGACAGTGTTTACAATTGCCTCACATGCAAAGAGAGAAAATTATCAGATGTCGTGTAACTGATTTGTTAAAGGTCTCGACGATTAACAAAGTGTTAAACGTCTAGTAGACATTTCGTCTAGTCTGATTTAAGCACCCGAAAGATATCGGCGGTACGGGATAAAATCATTAAAACTCTCGTAGGTAGAAAAACCTTTTAAACGTCTCGCCAATCGGCTCGACGTCTAATAGATTTGTTCCACCTACTCGCGGTTTAATATATATTACATGCTTGTAACACGCAAATTGTTAATTGTTACTGACAGGACCAGTCGGAAGTAGCCCGCTCAGAGACTAAAAAATCGTCGCAGCCCCATTCCGAGCAGCAGGCCTCAGATTGCAGAGTGCAGACCCTCTGCGGCCGACCGGTCAGCTCAGGCCCGCCCCCGCCCCCGTCCCCCGCCATCGCCCAGCGGCTCACCGGTAGCCGTTCATGGCCTTGGGCGCCTCAGCGATGGTGCCAGAGTAGAAGGTGGGCGTCTGCTGCTGCGTGTGCCGGAACGCGCCCACCACGCGCACGCCAACGTGCAGGCGTACCGTCGACGGGCCCACGTAGGCCAGCTCGGAGCCGGCAGCCAGACGACTCTTGTTGGAAGTGACGCGCGGCGAGTCAAACTTCACCTTGTAGCGCGCCCCCTGCCGGCCGGGACAGCACCCATCACAGCAGGCCGGCACCACACCAGGAGACCGCGGGGCTACACCAGGGGACCGCGGGGCTACACCCGGGGGGTCGCGGCGCTACATCAGGGGACCGCGGCACCACACCAGGGGACCGCGGCACCGCACCAGGGGACCGCGGCGCTACACCAGGGAAACGCGGCGCTACACCAGAGGGGTCGCGGCGCTACATCAGGGGACCGCGGTGCTTCACCAGGGGGACCGCGGCGCTACACCAGGGAACCGCGGGGCTGCACCAGGGGACCGCGGCGCTACGCCAGGGGAAGGCGAGGGGCAGGGGTGGTCGTCCGTCCACTGTGGACCGCGGCGCTATACAGCCATCACAGACACACGGCGCTACAGCCAGCCATCACAGACACACGGCGCTTTGATACGGCTCATTCTGGCGGCGAGTGTGCGGGCTGGTGAGTGGGGAGCGGCCAGCGGGCCTCGGCGCACTTACGCTGGGTTTGGCCACCACCTCCCTGACGGTGGCCCGGAACCAGGGCGACAGGGTGTCGCTGTGCATGGCGAACACGTGCTGGCCGACGGTGACGGCCGGCCGCTGGATGGTGCCCAGTGGAGGCAGGTCCTGCGGCAGCGCCGCGCGCCGCACCTGCACCACGTCACTGATTTGGATCTGCCGGGGCACAACGGCACGTCAGTGAGTCGGTCCGACCGGGCTCCGGCCTACAGCCAGCTGATCATAACACACTGAGAGAGTGCAGAGGGGCACGTCCTCTCCTCCGGCCACAGCCAGCTGACCATAACACACTGGGAGAGTGCAGAGGGGCACCTCTCCTCCGGCCTACAGCCAGCTGATCATAACACACAGGGAGAGTGCAGAGGGGCACCTCTCCTACAGCCAGCTGATCATAACACACTGGGAGAGTGCAGAGGGGCACCTCTCCTACAGCCAGCTGATCATAACACACTGAGAGAGTGCAGAGGGGCACCTCTCCTCCGGCCTACAGCCAGCTGATCATAACACACAGGGAGAGTGCAGAGGGGCACCTCTCCTCCGGCCTACAGCCAGCTGATCATAACACACTGGGAGAGTGCAGAGGGGCACCTCTCCTCCGGCCTACAGCCAGCTGATCATAACACACTGAGAGAGTGCAGAGGGGCACCTCTCCTCCGGCCTACAGCCAGCTGATCATAACACACTGGGAGAGTGCAGAGGGGCACCTCTCCTACAGCCAGCTGATCATAACACACTGGGAGAGTGCAGAGGGGCACCTCTCCTACAGCCAGCTGATCATAACACACTGAGAGAGTGCAGAGGGGCACCTCTCCTCCGGCCTACAGCCAGCTGACCTACACAGGGAGAGTGCAGAGGGGCACCTCTCCTCCGGCCTACAGCCAGCTGATCATAACACACTGAGAGAGTGCAGAGGGGCACCTCTCCTACAGCCAGCTGATCATAACACACTGAGAGAGTGCAGAGGGGCACCTCTCCTCCGGCCTACAGCCAGCTGACCTACACAGGGAGAGTGCAGAGGGGCACCTCTCCTCCGGCCTACAGCCAGCTGATCATAACACACTGAGAGAGTGCAGAGGGGCACCTCTCCTCCGGCCTACAGCCAGCTGATCATAACACACTGGGAGAGTGCAGAGGGGCACCTCTCCTCCGGCCTACAGCCAGCTGATCATAACACACTGGGAGAGTGCAGAGGGGCACCTCTCCTCCGGCCTACAGCCAGCTGATCATAACACACTGAGAGAGTGCAGAGGGGCACCTCTCCTCCGGCCTACAGCCAGCTGATCATAACACAATGGGAGAGTGCAGAGGGGCACCTCCCCTACAGCCAGCTGATCATAACACACTGGGAGAGTGCAGAGGGGCACCTCTCCTCCGGCCTACAGCCAGCTGATCATAACACACAGGGAGAGTGCAGAGGGGCACCTCTCCTACAGCCAGCTGATCATAACACACTGGGAGAGTGCAGAGGGGCACCTCTCCTACAGCCAGCTGATCATAACACACTGAGAGAGTGCAGAGGGGCACCTCTCCTCCGGCCTACAGCCAGCTGATCATAACACACTGAGAGAGTGCAGAGGGGCACCTCTCCTCCGGCCTACAGCCAGCTGATCATAACACACAGGGAGAGTGCAGAGGGGCACCTCCCCCCGGCGGTCTGGGTTCGAGCACAGCGCACGACGCCCATGGTGACTGCGTACTGTGTAGTGTGCAGTAGGCAGGGCAACTTCACCCACTCATCTCCGTCCCCTCACCGCACCTCCCCGTCTCCCCCCCCCCCCCCACATCTCCCCGTCTCCGTCCCCTCACCACACCTCGCCGTCTCCCCCCCCCCCCCACATCCCCCGTCTCCGTCCCCTCACCGCACCTCCCCGTCTCCCCCCCCCCACATCCCCCGTCTCCGTCCCCTCACCACACCTCCCGTCTCCCCCCCCCCACATCTCCCCGTCTCCGTCCCCTCACCGCACCTCCCCGTCTCCCCGTCCCCCCGACACACACAGATCCCCCCGTCTCCGTCCACTCACCATACCTCCCCGTCCCCCCCCCCACATCTCCCCGTCTCCGTCCCCTCACCGCACCTCCCCGTCTCCCCCCCAAACACACACATATCCCCCCGTCTCCCCCCCCCCCCACATCCCCCGTCTCCGTCCCCTCACCACACCTCCCCGTCTCCGTCCCCCCCACATCTCCCCGTCTCCGTCCCCTCACCGCACCTCCCCGTCTCCCCTTCCCTCCACATCTCCCCGTCTCCGTCCCCTCACCACATCTCCCCGTCTCCGTCCCCTCACCACATCTCCCCGCCCCCCCCCCCCCCCACATCCCCCCGTCTCCGTCCCCTCGCCCACACTCACGTCTCCCACGGGTTTGTTTGCGGGCTGCTTTTTGAGCGCGGCGGCGGTGGCCGGGTGCGCGGGAGCGCCGGCCGGCCGGGCGGCCAGCGGCGGCGGCGGCGGCATGGTCGTCTGCAGGTGAGCCGTGTACGCCGGGTCCAGGTCATAGACGCGCCCGTCAGAGTAGTGGATCGTCCGCTGCGTCTCCGTGTGGCACAGCGTCACCGGCCGCAGCGACTGATGGCGGCCACAGCGGGGCGGTCACAGTGGGGCAGCGGGACGGTGGGTCAGTCACAATGGGACAGCGGGGCGGTCACAGTGGGACAGTGGGACGGTGGGACGGCCACAGTGGGACAGTGGGTCAGTCACAGTGGGACAGTGGGACGGTCACAGGGGGAATGTGCAGAGTACTAGCTCGGCGGCCACAGAGGGCGTCGACGCCAGCTCTCATCGGACTCAATACAAAAGCAGCGGAAGCAAATCGTCCCGCAGGACCAACGGCTTATGAGATTCGTGCTCCGTGACAATGATTCAGTAATACCCTCGTTGAACTTCAGGGCTGTTACGTCAGTTAGTGCATCGGGTCTGAAGGCACATATGTATTTGAGGGAAAGAGCAGCCTGCGTCATGCAATCTAGCGCAATTTAAAAGTTCTGGTGCAATTTCTGGCGCAAATCAGGATGAAGCAACAAAAGAAAACAAAAAACAAAATTTGCTGACCCATCCGCAGTAAGCCTTTCCTGGTGTGGAAACACGTCCCCGCTATAGGTAAAATGGCGAATGTCACCAAATGAAATCGTTGCAAGCGGCAGGGGCATGCTGGCCGAGTCGCCGGCCCCGTTGCAGGCGGTTGCGTCAGGCTGGCGCGGACGGCGCAGTGTCTCTGTCGGATTGGTCCGCCTGGGGACTGGCCAGCCACGGACGGAGCTCCGCCGTCCGACTGCAGCGGCGGGCGCCGCCCGGCCGGCACCGGCATCCCAGCCCAGACACAAAGCCGACACCGACAGCCTCAGCACACGTCTGCACAGATACTGTGCAGCTTCCGTCCCTGGCAGAGCTGCCGGCACCAGCGCAGCACCACCAATAGCACAGCTACCCGCCATAGCAGGGCTAGGAGAACAACTACCCCGCAGAACTGCGAAGTAAAGCGCTACACACTGCTCGGCAGAGACCGCCCCCCCCCCCCCCGCCGACCCCAGCGTGAAAAACCTGCGGGTGAGTGGTGTCGGTGCGGCCGGCGCCAGTCGGCGCCGGCCCGGCGTCGGCGCCGTCCTCCTGAGGCGCCAGCGCGCGGCTCTGGGCGGCGCAGAGCTCCGGCGGCGGGCAGCGGGCCGTGAACGACGAGGCCGGCCGGCGCCCGGTGCGGCCGCACGGCGCCGCTGACGCCGGCAGCAGCGTGGAGGCCGCCGTCTCGGCCGGCGCGCGCAGCGACCGGCGCGGCGGCTCCGCTGCCGGCGGCCGCTCTGATACCGGCCCTGGCGGCCGTGATGCCGGGGGCCGCTGATATACCGCAAGAGGCTGTGATACCGTCGGTGGTGATACCTGTGACTGCGGTAGCGGCGGTGGTGATACCGGCGGCAGCTGTGATACCGGCGGCAGCTGAGCCGACTGGGCCGGGCGCAGCTGAGGCGGCGGCGGTCTCGAGCCGCAGAGACGGGCCAACATCTGCCGCAGCCGGCTGCCGGCCTCTGCCGTCTGTGCGGCGGCGGCGGCGCCCGGGCCGGCCGCCGATAGCAGCTGCAGCACGGCGGCCGGCGGCGCCTGCCAGCAGCCCGGCGGCGGCACAGACAGCGCCAGCGCGCACCCCGCCGGCTCGGGCTCCCGCCAGCTCCTGCGTGCGGCCACCACCGGTGGAAACAGCGGTCGGCGCACCGGCATAGTCGGCGGCCGACTGAACAGAGTCCAGGGCGGCAGCTGTCGCCGATCATGGAACGCGGGCGACCGGAGTCTCAGGTGCACCTTTTTGGTATTAGTCGGCTGGTATAGCTCAAGTCGTTGGGCAGCCGCCATCGGCAGCTGTTGGGACTGCTGGCCAGCCGCGGTTGACTGCTGGTTGGCCACGGTAGACTGCTGGTTGGCCACGGTGGACTGCTGGTTGACCGCGGTGGACTGCTGGTTGGCCACGGTGGACTGCTGGCCAGCCGCAGTCTGGGACTGCTGGCCGGCCGCGGTGGACTGCTCGTTGGCCGGGGTGGACTGCTGGCCAGCCGCAGTTTGGGACTGCTGGTTGGCCGGGGAGGACTGCTGGTTGGCCACGGTGGACTGCTGGTTGGCCACGGTGGACTGCTGGTTGACCGGGGTGGACTGCTGGTTGAGCGGGGTGGACTGCTGGCCGGCCGCGGTGGACTGCTGGTTGACCGCGGTTGACTGCTGGTTGGCCGGGGTGGACTGCTGGTTGGCCGGGGTGGACTGCTGGTTGGCCACGGTGGACTGCTGGTTGGCCGGGGTGGACTGCTGGTTGGCCGGGGTGGACTGCTGGTTGGCCGGGGTGGACTGCTGGCCGGCCGCAGTCTGGGACTGCTGGTTGGCCGGGGTGGACTGCTGGCCGACCGGGGTGGTCACAGTCACATCTGTGGACTGCAGCTGGCCGGCAGGGATAGACTGCTGGCCGGCCGCGGTCCGCGGCGGTGACGATATGAGCCCGGTGGGAGAGAGTGCCCACTCTGCCACTCGGAGCAGACCGGGCACGGGCCGGCCCGGAGCGCCGTCCGGTCCCCGGCGCGCCTGCCGACTGTCCAGGAGACGCAGGTAGCGACGCACGGCCTGCTCATGCCGCGGCGGCAGGGGTTGCGAGCGGCTCGAGCGCCCGCGCCAGGTCTGCACGCCGATCCGATGTCTGGGCAGCCACATCAGGCGGCCGGAGTGCACCAGCTCAGCTGCCGCCGCCAGCAGTTCGCCGTCGCTGTGGCCGTCAGGGCGGCCGGGGAGCGGGTCGCGCTGCCGCTGCTCCTCGGCGGCCGGGTCGAGTGCGCAGCCGGGCCGGCCGCCGAGCGCAGGCCCGGCCGATCCTGTTCCGGGGGCCGCCCCGTCACCAAGGCGCTCTGACTCAATCAAACACGCACTACGGCTGTCACCCCTTGAGTGATCCTTAACCTGCCTCCTACCGTCTCCCTCTGCACGAACAGTCCCTGCGTCATCTCTTGAACGGCCCTGTTCATCATAAGTTTCCGAGCCTAATGGGGGTTTATCAGCGAGCGGCGGCCGCTGAGAATCGTCCGTACCACCGCCGCTCCGCGGAGAGCGACTATTTCTCCCCTGCGTGCCTGGAATGGGGCTGAGGTCCTCTCCCCTTCCAAGTGTCGCCGAAGGCAGGCACGTCTGTTCTTGGTGAGCCGCCGAGGGGGCGGCGATTTGGGCAGGTGCTGAGCGGCGGGCGGTCTCGCCGCTGTCGCCCGCCGGAGCCGGTCCGACCTCACCGGCCAGCGGTGCCGTCGACACACTGCCTTCTGCGGGGGCGACCTGCGATCCGGAGCGGTGGTGCGGCCTCCGCGCGGCGCCTGATGGCCCGTCCGCGGCGGCGCCTGATGGCCCGTCCGGCGCGGCGTTTGGCTGGCGTGCTCCCCCGACATCCACGTGTCTGGGTGTGGCGCGAAGTCGCAGCCGCCGGAGAAGCACCGAGCACGGCTGCCACGCCCGGGCCGCGTCCAGCTCAGCCTGCTGCGCGCTGGGTTGCTGGCAGGGCGACTGTTTTATCGATGTGACCGGTTTGCACGGGCCTACCGCTGAGTGGCGCGTGCTGCCAGCCCGGTCAGCAGCCGGCTCCGGGAGACGCTCTCCTGCAGGGTGCGGCAGCGGCGCGCTCCACTGCGCTGCGGGCTGCACGGCCGCCGCCGGCGCGGCGCCCTTGTCAGCCTGCCGGCCGGGAGTCAGTGGCGCCGCCCCCAGCCGGACCGGAGCGGCCGGCTGGAGCGCCACCAGCCGGCCACCGGCCGCCAGCGCGTCCACCACCCAGACAGGCCGGCTCGGCGGCGGCCGGAGCGCTTCGGACGGCGCCGGCCGCCCAGACGCCGCAGTACCGTCTGCGTGCCGCCACTCTGGCCGAGCGTCGCTGTGCATGCCGGCGGCGCGGTCACCGGCCGGCGGGTCGGCCTGCCCGGAGACGGTGACGGGCGCAGAGGCCGTCCCCGAACCAGGCGCCCACTGCCGCCCGCAGCGGCACTCACCCACACAGGCCGGCTCCCCCTGCCGGTCCTTGGTATTGTTGTTGCTACAACCCGCATCTGTTAACAAGACTTTGGACAATCTCCCTTTTGCTTTGTCGACTGCCATCTTCACTAATTCACTGGCCACGTTGTTGTTGCCATCCCGTTCTGCTGGCGTTTGTCGGCCGCCGCCACCACTCGCCTCCCCAGTGCTCAAACGGGGCGTCTTTTCAGCCCGCTGGTCCGGTTCGCCCGCTGCCGATTCAGCGTCAGCCGGCACCCTTCTCTTCTGCGCCGAGGGGGCGGCGGCGGCCGGCGGAGGCCGCTGTGAAAGCCGGCGGCGGCCGGCCGTCGGTCTGCCCAGGTACGTGTCACACAGCACACAGTGGCAGCCGGCCGAGACGGGGCGCGGCCGGCCGGCCGCCGCGCCCGCCGCCCGCTCCGAGGGCTGCTCCTGAAAGTGCACAGGAGCCGGCCTCAGGAGGAGAGCCTCCTGTGCTGAGGGGTCAGCGAGACACACAAACGGCCCCGGCCGCCGGTGGTTGGGGACAGGGGCCAGAAAAGCACATACAAAGCCCATCACAGCACAAATCGTTCTCCAAGCCCATGCCGTCTCCATACCAAGCAGAGCGGTTCGATAGACGTGTTAATTAACAGGGACAGACGGTGGTAAAGATGACAAACATGACGCGCGTGCCCCGTGCAGGTGACGGCGCGCCGCTTACCCGGGTGGGCGGCCGCTCCTTGTACAGGTCCTCGTACAGGTAGTGCAGGTCCTTGTCCAGCCGCGACAGCTCTCGCTCCGTCTTGCTGAACGAGTCTGTTGAACGGCCGGCCGGCCCGGAAAGGTCAAACCCGGCGGCACAGGAGCGGCGGCCCCGTACTCGGGTGCGCTCTGGGCTACACAGCGTCCTTGTTTGTCACACGGTCAGCACCACAGCCAGTCACACATGCAACACATCAGACACAGTCCGCACTGTCAGATCGGTACTATGACTTTATCCGTCACTGGATCAGCACCTGAGGATGACTTCAGAAAACAAACTAAACTAAACTGTTGAGCTGCACACCGCAGCCCCCCCCCCCCCACCGTCCCGGAGCGGTCGGCTGGCCAGTGGGCGGCCCCCTCCCGGGCCGGTGGCTGTGTCGGCGCCCGCACCCACCGTCAATCTGCGCCTGTTTGTGGCGCACCCACTCGATGCACGTGTCCAGCTGGTGGTCGAAGTGGACGGCCGACATGGCGGCGCGGATCCGCTCCTCCATGTCACCGTCGGCCTCCAGCAGCGAGAGCTCCGAGCTGTCGCTGGCCGAGTCGTCTGCCGGCACGGCCGCCGCCGTCACAAACCACCGCACACAAACTACCACACACAAATCACCACACACAAACCACCACCACACAAATCATAACACACAAACTACCACAAAACTACCACACACAAACCACCTCACACAAACTGCCTCCCACAAACCACTACACACATTCACAAACTACCTCACACAAACTACCACACACAAAACACCACACACAAACCAGTAAACCACCACACACAAACCACCTCACACAAACTGCCTCACACAAACCAACACACACACAAACTGCCACACAGAAACCACCACACACAAACTACCAAACTACCAAACACAAACCACTACACACAAACTACCACACACAAATCATAACACACAAACTTCCACAAACTACCACAAAACTACCACACACAAACGACCACACACAAACCACTACACACAAAATGCCACACACTAGCTACCACGCACACAAACCGCCACACACAAACTACCACACACAAACTGCATACCACACATAGTCGCACCAAACCCACTACACTTTCGGCGGCATCAGTTTGACAACTTGTGCCCGAAGAAACTGCACGCGGCTATCATAAGTCAGCCGTTCGAAAATGGCATGGCCGAAATACTAACAATTAACATGATGGTTAATTTGACGTGTCACCCCTAAGAAGGGCTTCAACTAATACGCTGTATAAAAATATCAATATATAAGTAGAGTAAATAGCGAGACAGAATGCGGTCAGCGCCGACAGGCCGCCGGCCGTGCCCAGCCCCGGTGGCCGGCTCAACTCACCGTCGCCGACCGGCTGCTGGCCGGCCGGCCCATCCTCGCCGTCCGAGTCGAGGCACACCTCGTTCTGCTTGGCGCGGACGGCGCCCTCCAGCAGAGGGCGGCCCTGGCTCACCAGTTCGGCCATCAGCTGGACGGGCACAGCATTGCGGTCAGTACTCCCCGCACAGCACAGCACTGCGGTCAGCACTCCCCGCACAGCACAGCACTGCGGTCAGCACTCCCCGCACAGCACAGCACTGCGGTCAGCACTCCCCGCACAGCACAGCACTGCGGTCAGCACTCCCCGCACAGCACAGCACTGCGGTCAGCACTCCCCGCACTGCAGCACAGCACTGCGGTCAGCACTCCCCGCACAGCACAGCACTCCGGTCAGCATTCACCTGACCTTTACCCTTAACTGCTAAAATGATCTCAAACATCACAGACGATACAACCATGGGGTTCTAGGGCCAAAACTGACTAGAATCCACCGGGTTCCTATGGCTCAGCATTGGCAGCAGCCGCCTGGTACCGGTAGGCTGTGCCGCATGACCCGAAAGTTATGCGGCACAGTCTACCCACTCCGTTTGACATCGGCTCGGGTCGCCGGGTGGAGCACTTTGTAGACCAGCTGTTGCTTCAGACCAGCGCGGGGGGGAGGGGCTCGTCTCAGTGGTTGGCGTGGGCTGGCGAGTGGTATGGGGCGTGTTGGTGGACCACGGGGGCTGGTCGGGTGTGTGTGGTCACTTCTTGCATTGCACATTTTGCGTCGCTTAACAATTGCTTCCTGTTTTTGATTAGCACAATGCACGGAAGACCCAGCGAATATAATTTACTTTACTTGTGCATTGTGCAAAACGTGATTTGGCACGGTATCGAGGCAACCATAGGTCTTGTGCCTATGCATGATATTTAGACAATACGTTTATGAAAACGGTAGATTGATGCTGGATGTCAATTCGTATGCTAAATGTCGGCACGTATTAGGTAAATGAATGAATGAATCAATCAATCAATCAAACAATCAATCGACATGTATAAAACCGTATAAATGGCTCGCAACCACTAATAGCAATCAAACCATCCTAACTCGAAAAAGCAGCCGGAGCCCTGATGAGGCTCGAACCGGGACTCAACGCTGTAAATTTTGCCTATGATCCATCATCATTCCACCAAGCTAGAGTGACCGGCACCCGAACCCACAAAAACATTAATTGACTTTGCCGCCGCCCTCCTGTGCGGCGAGTGCTCGACTGTCAAACTGACCGGCGGTGAGGAGTCCGGTTCGAAACGCTTCGGATGCTGGATATTTATTTCTCGGTGGGAGGCTTTGCGTTTAGTCCACTTTTCAGAAAGATCATTTGGTGACTGACCTGTTTTCTTTCTTTGCTGCAATTCATGAGGAGACCGTATGCACCCTTACCTGTCCTTCCGCACCCCACTTGGGAGATGTGTGGTTGACCCCCCCCCCCCCCCCATGGGTTTTGTGAATATCTCTAAAACGAATTTTTGGAGGGGGATACGATCGGTTCTATGCGACAAGTGACCGCACACGCCCAGCCCCAGGTCCGCTCACTCCCTCCCCACACCACCCCCTCCCCACACCACACTCCAGCCCGCCTCATCCACCGAGCCGAGCCATGACGAGCCTCAGCGCCCCGGGGCGCGACCTGTCAGCGAACCGGCGCACACAGCCGCTATCTGGGTTCAGAAGTGGCCAATACCCTAATTTTCGACAAATTTTAAAGCGCGATTTTCTCACATTTTCTGGTCGTAAATTGATCAGACTGTATAAGATATCAGCCAGAAAAAAAAATATTACTCATTCTGGCACAAATTGGTGGGCTCCCAAAGTACACCGTTTTGTTTTGCTCCGTGAGACCGAACTTGTGCTGCGATTTTCACGTAAATGTTGACGAGTCTCCTGTCATATTCTTTGCTTGAACATGCGTAAGTAAGATATCAGCTGAAAGGGGAAAATGTGCGGAATCCATTGGTAACAAAAGTGCATCTAAAAAACTTCACACTCAGTTATTGTAAGCTAATTGTTGCACACTTGCACAAAGCAGAAGGGCTTGAGGATTTCAATATTTACATAGGCCTACCAAAAAACGCACAGCGTGCTTCACATCGAGACAACGTCCATAACATATACCGTACAATTGTTATTCATTTGCTGAAAAAATTAGGTCGGCATCACACTGCCGGCAAAAGTTATTGCAGTTTTAGTGACGCTAGGTCGCCGCCCGGCCGACCCCGATCAGGTCGGCCGGGCGGCGGCCGCGCAGCTGACGTCCGTACGGTTCGGCAGCTGACCAATCAGCTGCGAGAGAGGAGCGCGGTCCGTCCAAGTATAATAGCTCCGGCAGTTGCTTCATGTGCTGAGGGGTGCTCGACGCTCGTGTCGATTGCATTTGTTGGTTGTCGATTGCCGATTGACTTGTGAGTATACTTTCTGGTGAACAATAAATGTACGTCGTCTTAACTGAATGTAGTCTGATCAAATTCAATAAAGCAAAAAGACATCCAGCCAACAGAACATCGTAAGAATGTCCGATATGGTTGATAACATTCAGATTTTTGGGGAGCAGCCATCGACCAGAATGAACCTTATTGGCTTTTGTATGTAACATTTGTATGAAACTTTTGGAAAGTTTCAGTCAGATATCTTCAGAAATGGCAATGTTATCGGCTTTTGCATTTTACCGTAGTCGGTTAATCACAATTTTCGATATTGCAAAGGCAATTTCAGTACGTTCTTGACATCGAAAACCAAAACGAATAGCATCATCGTGTTCCAGAGCTCAAATTGCATCCGATGCACATCTTTTTTTGTTGAGAATGTTCAACTTCAAAATTTGGGCTTTCTGACCTCGCCGTGACCTGACCTTCATTTGTCGAATGGAAATAGTTTCGAATCGGACGACCCAGATGACATCATTTTTAGATGCTTTTGCCGAATTGGACCATTAAAGATGTGTCGCATGACCTTAAAAATGTATACATTTCCTTCCATGACCTTTTCCATGACCTGTTGTGACCCATGACCTTTCCATGACCTTTTGTGACAAAGTTAGGTTTCGTTTGTCAGCTATTCCTATCAGAAACCGTTTGAACTTTTAGTATTGAACGAGTAGTTTCGAAGACAGCAGGGAAGCTATGCAGAATCCCCTCCCGAGTCACCCACGTTATGGGATATACCCGTCATCCGCGGATTACAAGCAAATTTTTTTTACGGCAATGATGTATCAGTATGAATGCTCATACGTTCCCATATGTGACCTTACGGTTGACTTCACATACAATAAAAATTGCTTGGCAAAATGTCAACTGGTTAACGAGTTATCGCATTTTGGCCACTTCCGAACTCAAATAGCGGCTGTGTGCGGCGGGGACGCGGGCCGGCGGTTGCGTGCGCCGCGGGGGCAGGGGCGCGCCGCGTCGAGGCGGCGCGAGCTGGCGCCGCCACGGCGACACTGGACCAGACCTGATAATTGGACACCTCAACATTCAGTCGTTGAAGCCCAAACTGCCGGATCTGCGAGACAACATTCATAGAGTTCACGGATTTTATTTTATTTTATTTTATTTTTAATTTTAGTCCGAACCTTTTGATGGGAAGGATTCACAAGGACAGAGCCACCGCTAAGCGAAGCTCGTTGCGATGACCCTGCCCTCTACCCTCCGATCGAGCAATTCCAGTTCTATGGCAGGATTTAGAGTCCAAAGTTTAACGGGCGCACAAAGCCGCGCACGGCCGGTCCCCTCGCTGACTTCGCCTGGCTACGGCCTGCCACCAACCGCAACCATACCTGTCAAGAGGCCCATAAATGTCGAGCGCCCGTCGCGCTTCGAACCCGGACTGTCATAACCGGGAACGCGTGCTCTCACCACGCGGAGTCCAACGCTCTAACCAACTGAGCTACGGGACCGGCAATTTGATATATTGTCAATGTTATTATATAACAGTGTTCGCTGACAGGTCGCGCCCCGGGGCGCTGAGGCTCGTTATGGCTCGGCTCGGTGGATGAGGCGGGCTGGAGTGTAGTGTGGGGAGGGGGTGATATGGGTAAGGAGTGAGCGGACCTGGGGCTGGGCGTGTGTGGTCACTTGTCGCATAGAACCGATCGTATCCCCCCTCCAAAAATTCGTCGATATTCACAAAACCCATGGGGGGGGACAACCACCCATCTCCCAAGTGGGGTGCGGAAGGGCAGGTAAGGGTGCATACGGTCTCCTCATGAATTGCAGCAAAGAAAGAAAACAGGTCAGTCACCAAATGATCTTTCTGAAAAGTAGACTAAACGCAAAGCCTCTCACCGAGAAACAAATATCCAGCATCCGAAGCGTTTCAAACCGGGCCCCTCCCTACCGGTCAGTTTGACAGTCTAGCACTCCTACGCTGAGCTACACCGGATGGTGGCTATGGCCGGGGCAAAGTCTGGCAGGCGGGCGGCGGGGCCTGGAGGTCGGCAGCAAAGTCTATTAAATGTTTTTGTGGGTTCGGGTGCCGGTCACTCTAGCTTGGTGGAATGATGATGGATCATTGGCAAAATTTACAGCGTGGAGTCCCGGTTCGAGCCTCATCAGGGCTCCGGCTGCTTTTCCGAGTTAGGATGGTTTGATTGCACTATTAGTGGTTGCGAGCCATTTATACGGTTTTATACATGTCGATTGATTGATTGATTGATTCATTCATTCATTCAATACGTGCCGACATTTAGCATACGAATTTACATCCAGTATCAATCTACCGTTTTCATAAACGTATTGCCTAAATAGCATGCATAGGCACAAGACCTATGGTTGCCTCGATACCGTGCCAAATCACGTTTTGCACAATGCACAAGTAAAGTAAATTATATTCGCTGGGTCTTCCGTGCATTGTGCTTATCAAAAACAGGAAGCAATTGTTAAGCGACGCAAAATGTGCAATGCAAGAAGTGACCACACACACCCGACCAGCCCCCATGGTCCACCAACACGCCCCATACCACTCGCCAGCCCACGCCAACCACTTATCGGGGTTACATGAGCACAGTAAATACGTATTTAGCCGCTAATTCGAATTAGGAACGCATTACCGACTCATGTAGCCACCTGCTAGTACGAATCGGCGATCCGATCCGCGGTTACATGAGCAAAGCAAATACGTATCACGATCGGATTCACCGCTAATGCGAATCAGGAGCGTACTACCGACTCATGTATCCACCTGCTAATACGAATCGGCGGTCCGAACAAAATCCGCAGGGAAAGAGGCTTAGAAGCGAATAGGACCAAGATACGTATTACAGGAACTATTTCTTTGCAAAAAGAAACATTAAAATGCAAAATAATAGGTATTTTTTCAATTTCTTCTTTTGAAATCATATTTAAAAAAATATGTCGGTATTTTGTCAAGTTTTCAACAATAAATATAGTGAAAACCAAATAGTGAATATCCACATAATTTCAGTTGAAACATTTTTCTGACAGCACTACAGACGAATCAAGAGAGGCAATTGCCCAATGAGTCAAAGCAAGACAACTTTATGTTCAACTTTTTTTTGTTAAGTTAATTGAGAATGTTTTGAGCAGATTAAATGCAAAAAAGACATAAGATAATAAATTTTTAATTTAGTCACCTCTATTGCTACGGAAGTGCGCCACATTTGTATGCTATTCCGTTTGTAATGCGCATCGGGCCGAGAGCCAAACTAGATCCGTTTGACGTCACTGATACGAATTTGCTCATGTAGTCGGTGCACTGAATGCGTTCTTGGGGAGCTGATGCGAATTAGCGATAGTGCGTATTTGGAACGGATCGCTCATGTAACCGAAACGTCCGAGGCACACGATTCGGGCCGTATTTCACAAGAACTATTCTTTGCTGACTGGAAGCGTCAAAATGCAAAATACTAAGCATTTTTTTTATTGGCTGCATCGTAGAAAATAACAAAAAAATGTTGGTATTTTGGTTTAGTCTTTGCATGTGAAATAAAATGAATGAAATATTTTGATAGATAATTTTTTCTGACCACCCTGCTGTCGCTGCATGGCGAATCAGTGCCCACTGACTTCAAACAAGAAAACTTTGTTTTCATTTTTTGATTTCATGTTAATTTTAAATGTTTTTGAGCCTATCAAATGATATAATTATTTAAAATTTAGCTCAGTCGTCCCGGTAAATGCCGCAACTGCGCCATGACTGTACGCTAATCCTATTCCGTTTGTGATGCGAATTACCGGCCGTCGAGGAGTCAGCCCGGGTGAGCCAAACAAGATCCGTTTGACGTAGATAAAACGAATTAGTCTCATGTAACCGGTGCCGTAGATACGTTTGTGGGGAGCTGATGCGCATTAGCGTAGTGCGTATTTGAAACGGATCGCTCATGTAACCCCGGTAACTGAGACGAGCCCCTCCCCCCCGCGCTGGTCTGACGCAACAGCTGGTCTACAAAGCGCTCCACCCGGCGACCCGAGTCGATGTCAAACGGAGTGGGTAGACTGTGCCGCATAACTTTAGATATGGATAAAGAGTAGCGGACCATCAATCTGTACACGACTGTAACACTTATTTTCCTCGATCACCCATGCTATAACAATGCTGCGCCGTACGTCATTTGCGGTGTTTCAGGGACTCGGTAGAGACGGGGTTTCAGGATATTTCAGTTTGCGAAGCCCGTGGGGCTGAAGTCGGGAATAAATTGTGCCCAACATTCTTTAGACCAAAGAGTGTTCAGCAGCCAACACCCAGTGGTGAATGGTGATTCCTGAATTTCAGGAGCGGCGGACGTGCGTTAAGACGACCTAGCATTTCAGGAGCGTAGCAGAGACAGTGGACGAGCATATACAAAATGAGTTACGCTGTCAGGATTCAGGATTGGAGAAAATTTTGCGACATGTATGCAAAAGATGGCATACCTAGGCCAACCCGTTTTGAAATAAAATTAATTTGTCGATGGGTAATTCTTTATGGCGCACCCTGTAAACGCCGGCTAAACGTAAACCACGGGCACTTACCTTATTGTATTTTTCAACGACCATCTTGCAGACGGTGCAGATTTTGGCGCGTTTTCCGTTGACGCGCAAGTGCGCAGGTACGGCTGCGCCTTCTCCATGAACCATGGTGAAATACACGAGGTCCGAGGAGCTGGCCGACACCAGGCCCTGGCGCGCCTTACAGTCGGGGTTGAGACAGGCGCGCGGCGGCCGCGCACCGGTCCGCCCAGTGGGGCCGGGGCGGCCGGACTCGTCAGAGTCCGAGTCCAGCGTCACCAGCGCAATGTCCTTGTCCAGGGGTTTGTCAGGCTGGGCCAGCTCCGCAGCATTCAGTTCCGCTTTAGCCGTATCGGGCTGGTCCGATTCACCGGGCCCGGACTGGTCAGCCACTGGTTCAGAGCACGCACCAGCACCCAGCTGCTTCGAGTCGGCCCCACCACCAGCTCCCTGCGCGGCTGCCTCGTCCGAGCCGCCGGGACCGCTTTCCGTGAGCCCCCTCATCTCAGCCCCCTCGTCGCCAGCCGACAGCTTGCTATTGGCGTCTGTGGCCGGGGTGTCGCCCGCCGCACCAGCCGGAGCCAAGTCGACCTCTGGCTGGTCAGCAGCGTCCACGTCCATCGGACTGTGCCGGCTGCCCTCGGAGCCGGGCGCCGGCGCGGCGCGGCCGGCGGCGGTCGCTGCGCCCCAGCCCGGTGTCGGCACACCGTCCGCTACACTGGACATCTCTGGCTGCTTCGGCTGTGCACCACCAATCACTGCCGACCAGCTGTCTCTCCAAATCTCACTCCGGAGAGCATGTTTTGAGCTGACTATACAGCAATGCTTGGCTCAGACTTGCATCAAGTGTTCTGATCACAAATTAAATCTTATTTCCGTAGCACATTTAAATGTGCAGAAAGCATCAGATTAGAACCCTTTCTTGCTCATAGCTGATGTGGAAACTAATCATCTTGGTGGGATATTTCAGTTATCTGCAAGGGCAAGACAGTATCAAAAAGTGCTGATGCATTTCTAACAGTAACAGATGGTGCCTATGTGTATATAACCAACCACAAGCATGCACCCATACATTTAGTGAAATAAAAACATGAGTTCTCACCTTCAAATTAATGAAGGGACCATTCATAATAAGGCATGTGATAGAGATTTCACTGAAACACTCTACACATTACGCTCTGTTTGGTGGTAATGATGCCTGCTGTTTTAAATATTTTCACATAGGTTCGGTCTAAATTCATTCAGTAAGCAGTTAAACATGCAATGAAAATGGTGGACTCTGGAGAATAATGCTCTGAAATAGAGCAAGCAGTGAAACCCATGTAATTGATGATACTTTCAGTTTCGCCAAGATCTCAGGCGTGCACAGACCTCCGCTAGCCTTACTCAGGCGTGCAAGGCATGGGCCAGGCGCGCAGGCCAGCAGGGGTGCAATAACGAATTGGGGCCTACATACATGCCTGGAGAGCTCTCACTCGAAGCTTGCTAATGAAACAAACGTGAAAGGCACGGAGGACATCTACGCAACTAACGCACATTTGTGAGAGCGCTCAGCGCTGTTCATTGGGATTAAATGTGCACTTGTGACAGATCATCTGTGCGGTCATTGCCACAAATTCTGGCCTTTTCACTGCAGCTGTCATATGATAGGGAAACGGGCAGAAGAAAGAGCGTTGAGAGTATGCGCTCCCAGTTAAAACAGTCCAGGTTTGAAGCGCGACAGGCGCTCAACACAGCACAGCTGCGCGACTCAATGCGTGCTCGAGACGAGGCGCGAGCGGCCTATCAACGAGACCCATCGCCACAGAACCAAGCGGCATTTCGAGACAGAAGAAACGCTGTTAAGAAAGATTTCCAGCAAGCACGCTCGTCTTTCTTCGCAAGCTCCCTAACAGACTCACGAGGCTCAGCATGGAAGGGTCTGCAACAGTTTTTCCTCTCATCAAAGAAGAACGCCGATCCCGTGGACACCACCAGCCACGAGATGGCAGACCAGCTGAACAACCACTTCGCCAGCTGCGGCCCTCGGGTGGCCGCTGAGACAGAGACTCAGAGAGAGGGACGCACCCCAGATGAACCCCGCCCACGGTGTGTCGTGAGTGGAGCCTTCCGTGTGCGTCCAGCAACACTAACTGAGCTAAGCACTGCACTGAGACAAATGTCAGACTCAAAGGCATCTGGGGATGATGGAATTACTATCCAGATGATTCGTATGACTTTTTCGGTGATTGGTCTCATACTGCTGCATGTTGTCAATTCTTCACTCGGATCCGGTTTGCTGCCTGCTGTCTGGAAAATCGCAAGAGTTCTACCACTCCACAAGTCAGGATCACGCTCCGATCCAAATAATTACAGACCAATATCAATACTACCCACTGTAGCGAAGCTGACTGAGAGAGTGGTGTGCAATCAACTCATGGACTATTTAATGGCTCACCACATTCTCAGTGACCGCCAGTATGGTTTTCGCCCAGGACACTCAACAGAGTGCGCAATGATGCATACTGTCAGCTTTATTGTTCAAAGCTTAGATTTGAAACAAGTCACTTGCTTGGCGACAGTAGATACGTCCAAAGCCTTTGATAGCGTCCCCCATCACCGTCTCCTAAATAAGCTTGGCTGGTATGGGGTTGACACGCATTGGTTCCAAGATTGGTTAAGCGGTCGCAAACAGAGAGTTCATGAAGGTTCTCTTGCCCATGTAACCCACGGTGTGGTGCAAGGGTCCTTGCTCGGACCTGTACTCTACTTGCTGTACGCAAATGACTTTGCAGAGTACATAAGCGATGCTGAAGTCGTCATGTACGCAGATGACGTCCAGTTTCTGCATGCTCACTCCAGTGCCGACCTAGCTACTCTGCAGGCGCGGGTGGCGAACACCCTCAGTGAAGCGCAGTCCTGGTTCGTCAACAATAGTCTTAAAATTAATCCGAAGAAAACAGAAATCATATTGTTTAAGACACGCCAGCGTCGTCAGATTGAAGAGTTCTCTGTTGACTTAGACAGTGTTATCTTGCGTCCTTCCCCTTCAGCAAGAATTCTAGGGTTGGACATTGACGAACACTTATCATGGAAAGCGCAAGTTTCTCTTGTAGTGAAACGGTGCTATGCAACACTTCATGGGCTATCAAAATTCTGTCGTGGTCTATCAGCTGAAGTTAAAACATTTCTGATAGAGGCGCTTATTTTTCCGCACATTTTATACTGTTTGAGCGTCTGGGGTGGATGTGGTATCACCCAGAAGCGTCGCATTCAGCGTGTGATTAATCATTGTGCCCGTATCATCTTCTGCAGCCGGAAGTCAGAGCATGTCTCACCACTCCTGGCATCGCTTGGTTGGTCCACCATTGACGATTTGATAAGCAAGAGAGACATGTCGTTCATCAGCAGACTGATGAGCCACCAACATGCACCACAGATCCTACAAGAGTCGCTTGTTTACCGGCACGATGTATCTGATAGAGGTACCCGTTCTACTTCAGCTGGCCTTCTACAATTGCCCCGCGTGCGTACGGAACTCGCAAAGCGTTTCTTCAACTACCGTGCAACGGCCCACTGGAACGCCAGTCGTAACGGGTAGCCGTGTGTGACTAATGACTATGCATGCATGCATTCATGATGTGTAATGGGCAATGTTAAATGTAGTATTTGTGTTTACAAATCCGTACATGCGCGGTCTGAAAAGCCATCACATGGAGACCGTACGCAAATAAATAAATAAATAAATAAATAAATAAACATTTATGGGCCTCCTGACGGCTGACAGGCCATGCGGTTGGTGGCAGGCCGTGATTTTGAATTTTTGAAGACCTTTGCCTATCAAATCACACATTTTCTATAGTCAGAATCTACTTCTCCATGCTAAATAACGTGGAAACAATCATGAAAACACTGAAATGGACAATAATTTTTGATGTATCCACTAATAATGGATGTATCAGTATCACACTTACGACCAAGGCCGTATAAGAGCTTACGACCGTATTTCGTCCAACGAAATAACAACGAAATTAGGTAACGGTGGGGCAGGCGTCACCAATAGCTTTCTGTTGTAAACAAACAAGGTTCATGCATTATTAGGGCCCGAACGCATATAACATTTACGCGAGATTACCCACAATGCTCGGACACGTTGATGACGTCACTGGTGGCTAAAATTATTGGTATGCTCGATCTAAAAGCACTATTGATGCAGGGTTTTCTATTGTTATGAGAACTTTGATATGCAAAGCGGGAAATCACACGTGAAAATGACTTTTGAGCTCTCTAACAAGATTGAGATCGCGGTTCGAATCCCATCGGCGGCAATAAATTGCCGTGCCTTTTATCGAGTTTTGCAATCCGTTATTAGATCGGGAGCTTATTTTCACCGGCGAATTGGATAACCGTTGTCTCTGATGGCTGTATCTGACCTACCTAACCTAACCTAACCTAACCTAACCTAACCTACTGATTTTTGCCTACCGGGCATAAATAAACCTAACCTAACCTAACCTAACCTAACCTACTGATTTTTGCCTACCGGGCATAAATAAACCTAACCTAACCTAGCCTAACCTACTGATTTGGCTACTGGGGTTAAGGAATAAGTTACTCCCAGGAATAGATTGCAGGTAATAGTAAGTCAAATATTTTAGGTTAAGTGGTTATGCATCAGGCTTCAGGCCTTCGGCCTGAAGCCAGATACACAACCACTTAAAGGAAGGGTGCCACCTTTTGGACACAACGCAGTTTTTACAAGATTAGCCTCACATGAACCTAAAAACCGGCTTCACTTACCTATGCTCGAGACGGTCAGCATTGAATCCGCACGTGAAGTTATCATTTGCGAGTTTTGCTGCCAGCATTCGGGCAGGCAAAAATCTTCAGCACTATTTCCTCGTCGTGTTAAGGGTATTTTATAAAACATGAAATCAGCAAAGGTATGTATAAAAGTTATACTTTTGAAGCATGTTTTATCATTTTGAAAGGGTATATTTTTTCTTTATGGTATACACTTAAGTTTTAAAATTTTAATTGGGAAGTTTTTCTAGTAAGTTATAGGGTTCCATAGATCTCTTAAGCATTGTAAAGGAAAAACCTTTACTCGACTTATTTGATGTTCTTTAACTGTTGGCAAATATGGCCAACAGTTACCTACTTGGTTACCTACAACTTAGTTCAAATCATGTTATCTTCTTCCTTTTTATTTGTTCATCTTTTTGTCTCAGTTGCGCCATCAATGCAAATGGCAGAATGATATGTTGCCATGACAACAGGATATGCCAGCCGCATATTTACGTCTGGACAACGAGTTGCGTTGGAGAGGCCGGAAATAGTGGCGATTTCAGGACCGCAAGAATGGACCGTCATTGGAATGATTCTTTTTTAAACCGTGGACTGTTTTCAGCCGGAATTTAATAGTTACTACAAAATATTTTGTAATTACGTTTCCACCAAGAATGAATGCCATCAGGGCTAAATTTTTACTTGTATTGCATTTTGTCAAGAAGCATATAGTGCTGTTATATTGCAGTTTTAGCGCGTTTGTTACAAAATATGAAGCGAATAAGCGTCAGTGTAATTCATTAGTGCCGGAAGTTAACTTGAGGGGAAGCTATGCTAATTGCTCTTGTCCATCCACTAAAATTTATTAAATATTTTGCTCTGTGTATTCCAAAAGGAGATGGAACTATTTCATTTGTGCCCTCATGTCAGAATTGATGGTGGATCATTAAATTTTCAACGCAGTTTACAAACAAGCATTTGGTCTTTCTCGTATATAAGCAGTGGCTAAGAAAAGGTTGATCAATCCTGAAGTTCAGTCATCGTACCTCAACTTGGCAGCAAGATCCCCCAAGGACAGAGGATATATTGTATACATGTCCTGTAAATCAAAGAAACAAGCATTTGGTCTTTCTCGTATATAAACAGTGGCTAAGAAAAGGTTGATCAATTCTGAAGTTAAGTCATAGTACCTCAACTTGGCAGCAAGATCCCCAAGGACAGAGGATATATTGTATACCTGTCCTGTTAATCAAAACATTTTTGTGCCTGCAAAGGCTTAAGTTATCTGTGGTGTGTTCGGAGTTAGGCCATATGGCCGTTTTTGTTGTATGTTTATGTGGAGATTGAATATAACTGTGACCCTGTGCTTGTTTGTATACTTACTATGGTCAAACAGGGAACAGCACATTCACATAACATACTCACCTAGCACCTAACTCATAGCTGTACCCTGCAGGATCTGTACTTGTTCATGTCTCGAGCATTAACAAAGCACTTAAGTAGCTAAGTAATCATTTCCCACATTTCTGAACATCTAACATGACATACAGCAGTGCAGAGCAGCTTCAGAGAAGAAACACTTTAAATGCACAGACTCACACCAGCCACCCAATGAGCCAGTTCCTCAGTTGACTGTTTCCCTGGATGCAGCTTGGCAATGTGAGCTAACTTTTGGCAAGTTGAAGGTTAGCAGGTAAGATTGAGTTAGGGTGAGTACCTAGTACCTACCTATAACTGCAGGTGCT